CTTTTTATCTTATTTTTTTCAGTATCTATAACTGCACAAACAAGTATTTCAGTATTATTTTCAGTATTAATATCTGAGTATAGCTTTTTGACAACTTGGCAATTTCCAGAAGACCTCAGGTAAAAGGGATCAGGTCAGGGCTCTGTTACCATGTATGTGGATGTTGTGAGTCTTGGATGGCACAGATATAGAGCAGGGGCAGTGGTCTCTGTCTGCTACATGCCACTGAATACACTGCACATGAGTCACACCTCCACTGGAGATGTGTGTATGATTAAGAATGCTGCTAAATCCAGGCCTGCATAGGAATGGCTTCATAAAGTGATGGGATTTTCCATGTCCTGTTTTCTATTTGTAGATGTTAGATTTGTAACGATTCAATTTACATGGAGATTACACTGGCATGTTTTATTCAATCGTGTTTGAATCTAATCTTTATATGTGCCATGTAACACATGTAAATAATGTTTTACTGCTGATTATTTGTCTCAATTTTCTGAAACATATTTACCATACATAACATATTTGAATGTGTTTTGGGTTTAAACTTTTGTGGTAATGAAATGGCTGTTTGGAAGTTCTTGTGTAATGTTTCTATAGAATGGTAGAAACAGTGCATGTGCAGTCTGCAGGTACTTTTACTTCATTTTGTTTTAATTTAAAACTAATTAAAAGTAAAAAAAAAAAATAAATTGGTAACACTTTCATTTAATTTAAAGAAAAAAGGACTTAATTAAAAAAATACATATTTGGGCTTGGTGATAAATATAAATAATGCCCTAACCATAACTTCTAACTTCAAACCTTGAATTAGTTACTATGCCTGAATCACTCTTAATACATTTGTTTAAATCTTTGTACATGCTTTATTAAGGATAATTGCACTCTAATTATTATAAAGTGGTACCCAGCATTTTTCTATATAACTTTGTTGCCATAGTAACCTGTAAAATGTGATGTAAAATTTTGAGCTCTTAAATCATCCAGCTTAGTGGTTGTGGGTTGAACCAATATGACCTAGTTTGAGACAATTTGACATGGGAGAGCTTAGATCAGGGATATGCCCAGAATGAGATGAGAAGTATTATGCTGAACTGAACTGATTTTTCAAGCTGAAGGACACTTGGCTGCTTCATTCTTTTCAGAGTAAATGCATTTGTCTATTGCTTAGGAAACACTGGGGCTTCTTTTTGCAATTTGTAGCTGTTGGCAAGAGAAAAGCCCATTTACAGTTTTAGTTCTCAGCACACTGACTAAACTGTGGACCATAGCTTTCTTTTTAATCAGCCCGATTGATCTGATGAAGTGAAGAAGTAAGCTGTGCAATAAAAAGAGAACACAAATTGTTAATTCCATTATGTGGTAAAAGGAGATTATCATTCTATACAGAATGCATGTGAATGGATTGTGACTGCTAATGGGCCTGCACACTCTGTGCACTATAAAAAAAAACAAAAAAAACTTTCATGATAAACTGATAAATGTATTGGATGATGTAGCAACTTCTCCTGCTCATGATAAATTAGTCAAGTTTGACATTGAAAGTCAAGCTTACCCTTGGAGACCAGATTTCAAACTTCTTTTGCAATTAGTACAGTTCAGTACTGTGATAACAATACTACTTCAATGTCTGAATATACTTTTGGACATAATAATTAATACAATAACTACTATTATAATAAAACATAAAATAATGCATCAAATTACTAGTGAAACTATGAAATAAAACTTAACAAGAGACAAAACTAAGACTAAATCAAGGCTAATCTTGGCTTTAGTAAGTATTAATTCTATGGGGGTATTAACTTCTTACATATTTAATTCACCATGTTATCTTTTATTGTTCTGAAATACTATACTACAAAAACAACATATCAACGTGTTTTATAAGTTTCACTTTCGTTACTGACACAGTCATCTCAGAAATGAAACTACTGCACATCGCATCAGGTTTGTTATACACAGTTTTGTATCAGACCTCTTTAATAAAATCACCCTCTTTTAATGTTTTGCTGTAATTTTCTGTCAGATGAAAAACCTTGTGTAATTGATTCAATTATCAATACAGATGTTTTTGCAATATAATGTGCAGCCCTATTGCTTACCAAAATGTTTTTAAACTTTGTATAATTAATACTAACTGGACACTGGACTGCTGGAATATTACTGCATATGGTTGTTAGGACTTCAGTCTGCTTACATATCACCCAGTGGACCTCATTAGTAGATTACCTATGGTTCTGGGAATATTTTGCACAGTTGTCAGCAAAGGCTTTTATACATGCTGTACGAATACAAAACCAAAGGAACACCATGCATACCCTTAGCACCCAGCAGAATGACCGTTCATCTTTATCTCCTGTTTCTCATCCAAGGTTTTGATTGTTCAAAGGCCCCGTGTCTGTCTTTTGTCCTGCCTCTTTCTTGTATAGAATGCTCTTGATTCTATCTTTGAAGGTCAGTTTTCTATTGCCCTTTCCTCCAGTTGGTGAATGTGTGTGGGGGCCTTCATATTGGTGGTGCTTGCATACTAGTACTGGTATTGTTGTGATGAATGGGCAGGTCTGTTAGTTTTAATACAGTGGTAGAGGTATGCATTTTACCTGTGTTTATTACCCCCTGTGTTTATTTTCTTTTATTATATTGTTTAGGTTTCTGCTATAGTCCTTCAGTTATGGTTTAGAATTGGTTATCCCTAGTATTTTCCTGGCTTAGTCTGTAGTCCTATTTAAATGTCTATCTTAAAATGTCTAGTGGTGTTTGGTGGTCTTTTTTCTTATATGTTATGTTTTCTTCTATGTTTTCTTTCTTATATGTTAAAGGTTGAATTGAAATGTTAAGAGTGACTTTTTCAGACTCTGTGCTTCTATATGGGCAGTGGAATCAGACTTAAGGTGGCTGACTGGATCAATGCAACATCATTCAGAATTCTTTTTTCTTCCTACCTTTTCTTTAAATAACTGAAAAGAAACAAAACAGTGGAACCCAGGAGGCTCTAGACTGTACTGTGCACTCGCCACATAGCTTTAAGAAAACACGATTGATTTCTGCTATTCTTATAACCATCATACATTCCGCAAACAGTGCCGTTCAACATAGCAGGTTTGGTACTTTTTCAACAGCTTGAGCTTAAATGTCAAAACACAGCTTGGCAATCAGGACTCTTTGTGTCAGAGACAATACTGAATCTGAAATTTTAAGGCAATTAGTATCTTGTTCACATGTTGCCATAGCTTTATAGTGAGATGAGAGGGGCAAGCGTGATTAGTGGTTTGCATTGTGCTTAAATCCTATCAAGACATTTGGATTTAGTCCGGTCTAGTCTTGAATAAACAACCTGAAAATTACATTAAACTGCTTTTTGGTTCATGTGAAAATCTGACTTTTCAGTCTGATATCATTTTTATTAAGCAAACAGTGATGAACTTGCTACACTTGCTCTTACCATTGCCTACTATAATTATGCCCTTGAGCAATACACGGACTTTGCCTATTAGATTGAAGATGGTGTGTGAAAGAATCAACATTTTTGTCTTTCACCCCAGGGCAGCTGTCGCCAAGAGAATTAATAACTAAATAACTATGTGCTTTCAAAACTACAACACAATTGTTCCTATTATTTTTATATAAAGCATTATGACCAGAATTGGGTGACCTCCTTTTGTAAATGAACTGATGGGTTAACGATGCTGATATGATGATACCATCTTCAATGACTTTATCTTCACTCAGTACCTCTAAAACTGTTAATACAAAAGCAATAACATTGTTAACGAGTTTAAAATTCAGATGAGCAGACTTAAGTATCTGAGTGTACGTAAGTAGGGCAGTGATTGTGTGTATCTGAGGACTCCTCTTTCTCCCACTTGGTTTTCCACTTTTATTTCTGAGTTTTGCTTTCCTCACTGTTCCCCCTGACCATGGCCTGATTATGAATGCATGGGGGCATGTGAGGTTCTGGGGACTGGAGTGCTCCTGGATCAGACACAGAAGCAGAGGCAGATAGGGCACCTGTCTCAGATCTCCTGTCTCCTGTGGCCATGGCGATAACACTCCTCTGTTTTTCCTCCAGAGACATGTGTTACATAATCAATGGTCGATGTGACCTCTCTTGTCTCCATGTACTTTTGAACGTAAAGTAAATGCAGCTGTAGTTTAAAAATATGGAAAACGTACTTACTTATGGTTTCTAAGTGAATTTTTGCAAACGTGAATGGCCAAACGAAGAATATAACATAATTTATCATAATTTATGAATTTTGATCCATCAGAATTGTTCTTATTTAAAGCAAAAACATAAAAAAATGGCTAAACTAGACTTTGTCCAGTTTATACTTCCAAGGTCTGAAATTGCTCCACTAAAGAACTTGATTAAAATCTGATGAATTGCAAAGCTCCAATGTCATTGTACAAACTCATAATCAAAGCCATTTTGCAAATTAAAAAGCCCAAATGATTTACAGATCATGAAACCCAAACTTGGAAGGTCCCTGATTAGAATCAAGGGTTGGCCACATCTTCATCATTGCAACACTGTAGAGATCTGATCTCAATATATCCTGTGTATCCATGTCTTTCTGTTCAGTTTAATTCATTCTTAATGTGCAAATGCACCATTGAATTTCACTCTTTTTTTTTTTTTTTTATTAGCCACTATTGACCCATGTTTTTTTAGAGATATTTCAGTCCAGGTACAGTGTAGTCTTGCTTCACCATGCATCGTAACTCACCTCTGTAGTAAATAATAAAAGCCCTGCTCTTCACAATGTGAGGGACAGGAGTGCTTCTCGTATGAGCGCTTGAGAAATAAGACATGAGAGAAAAGAGGAAGAGCATTGCCTCATATTGTGAGAACTGCAGTCCACATGCAATGAAGTGTGTCTATTATCGAGCAGGGTCCCTCCCTTCCTCCTGTTCCCACTAAACAGCTGTCTGTGCAGGGGAGAGGGCGTGTGCAGCACTGCCCATCAAAAGAAGAAGGAAATGTAATAATACTCTCACATTACAGAAAATGGTCTTTCATTGATGTGCAGATTCTGATGAGCTGTTGTCAGTGCTGTATTATATATCTGTGAGTGAAGAGCCATTATAGATTGTAGACCTCACTGCTCCTCACTGAGGGCTTGTGCTTAAATGATGACTGACTTCAGGATGGTTAGGAATGCCTTTCTGGAGGGCTCTCTCTCTAGGAAGCCTTTCCTCAAGAGACGATGCCTCAGCGACGTGAGTACACAGACACACACACACACATAATTACTGCTCTATTTAAAAAAAGTGAAATAATAGAAGTAACAACCCATATAAAAACTCAAATGAAATGTGGAGTTTGTTTCAAAATATGCACTTTATTTACTGTCTTAGTATTGTGCTACTAAAAGAAACAATAGTAACATGGGGGGTGTTGCACACATGCTATGTATATTTTATTTTATTTTATTTTTATTTTTTTTATTTCTGTAAGGATTTATAATGGACACATTTCAGATATTTTTTTTTACATTAACTCCATATCAATTTCATTTTCCCCTTATCATACAGTTGCTCTCTTGTGTCTGGTCCATGCACCTGTTACCGTTAGTTTTAGTACAGACACATGCCAAAGTCTGAGTCTGTGCATACACGTGTGTTTCATCATGTGAGCGTGTGTAGTTATGTGCACTCAGCAGTTTTATGACTTTATAGGCTGTAAACCTAGTTCCTCTGCAAGAACACATTGTCAATCATTACATTTGAGAGAGTGGATTGTTTTGTTGCATAAATATAAAGTCTGTGTACCCTGCAATCCACAGTTTAACTCTCCAACACTCAAGAGGCTATAATAACATAATTTAAACTTTGAGTCAGAAAACCCATTCAGAGATTAAATGGATAATAATGCATAATTACTTTCTAGGGACATTTTCAAAAAGCATGAGGGTCCGGTCAAGCAGAAGTAAACAGCAAGGCCAAAAATTCAAGTTAATGCATCTGATATAAAAATGTATTCAACAGACAGCATATGTACTCTAGTTTATGAAACTGTTGACCTTTTTTCTGTACCATTTTTGGTTCTAAAGTTCCATATGTTTTAAACAGACCATGTATGAAACATGGAACAAAAATTATTTCCCAAATTTCAAAGACCTGCAAATCATGTAAATAAACTGATGTATTTCATAATATCTTGTGTTATTCGATCTTTGAACTGTTGATGAAGGTACATGATTTTTCAAAAAAAAAAAATTAAAATGATAAAAATTAGCTTGGAAGGACTGACATATTTTATAGAAATAGTTACCTTTCATTTTAAAGTAATATTAAAGTATTCAGAAGAAAAAAGCTGACAAATTATGCAAAATCATGCACCTTCTACTTGCTTGCACAATTTTACTTTCCCCTCCGTTACCATGACGTTTCTTAATAAAAAAATCTAATTACTCAAAAAGTAAGAGGTTTTTCAGTTAAGTTTGTTAAGGATATGTAAGTGAGAACCGCTAGTTATCACTGTTTGTATTTATTACCCAAAAAGTGCTGCATATTTCATTCCCTCTGTTACCGACATGAGTTTTTTATTTTTTGTCAACAACTTGAAAGAATATCGCAGGTTTAAAGGTTGTATGGAGGATTTTTTTTTGTTTCAAATTGTCAGTGAAAGATTAAAATACCATTACAGAGACGCAGCAGCTTTGTAATTATGACGACCAAAAAAAAAAGAACGAAAATCTATCAACTGTGGACGTGTTGAGGCCAGATAAACATCAGCCAATAGAAAACGAGGCTCCCTCATTTTCTATTGTCAATCAAACTCCCTAGTATAATTGACTCGTCGGAGCGCGGGGATTACGTGGTTTACGCAGCGGTTCTTAGAGGCTTTTTCGAACTGTCGCTTCCTCGCATTTCGCACAAAGTTTGTCGCGACAGCGGACGAGAATCCACGACCGGTTTGTCGCAAAAGAAAGTCCATTTTTGAGGTCAGTGAAAGAAGAAGAGAAGAGGAAAAGGAGCAAAGCCAAACTGAGGTGATTCTTGGAGATCTCGTCCAGCGATGGCACGACCGAAGCAGACGAAGGGTCTAAAAACTGACGCGTCGGTCGCTGAATTACTTCTAAACAGGTCACTTCAACAGTAATTCTGAATGCGCACAAGGACTGTCGCTGTATTTCTCTTCCCTTAAAAAAAATCCTCTATACAACCTTTAACTTTACCCTGTTGGAGTGTAACTCTTTCCTACATTCTGATACTTAACTTATTTCAATAGTCCCTCTAGTTTCTGAATAAGAGCATTTCAATGTAAAAAATCTGCCCCTGTTTCCCTCCTTTACCGCTTGACCGGACCCATGAGTGAGTAGTTTGAGGGCGCCTCTTGTAAATCTCCAGATGAGTATTTATAGGTAATGATTGAAGTCTTTACATAATGCTTGCAGACTCCACACATGTATGTGCTGTGCCAGTCTCATGTTAAGTGCCATGTGAAACATCATGTTGGCAGCTCAGTCCTGTTGTGTTACATGGTCACAGAGGCTCATTACTCAACCCACTCTCTCTCTTATCTCAGGTTTCAGCTGGTCTTAAAAATAAAAGCATAGATCAAATTTAACTTTGAACACAGAACTGAAATTCTCCACTTGTTGCTGTTGCATTGTAAGTTGCTATTATATTTAGAGGTGGGCAACATTGACAAAAATGAATAACTTCATTTTTTTTGGTATTATCTTTAAAACAGTGTTTGGACAATATAACAATGCATCAGGTTATGTTCTAAAATGCAACTTTAAATGTCTTGGTTGAGGAAGAATTGCACACAGCGTAAAAGTGACTGTACGATTAGCCACAAATGTGGTTAAAAGAGGAACTTTTAGAGAATGTTTAGAAGATTTCTGTTTCAGTTCATTTCATTTTTGATCCACTTTTCTTTTCGTGTGGTTATTTCTAATAGTTTTAATCATAGACAATATACTCAGTACTATTTTTTTACATTCTGTATCTTCAGGATAATATTTTTAATATTATACTATATATATATATTTTTTTTATTGTTTAAATATATTGTTTTAGGACTCTATGCAGATAAAGACACTGTACAGATAACTCAGTCACACTATGTTCTCAAATAAGTTGGGCTGTGGCAACAAGCTCCATGGAGCTCTGAGCTGAACCCCTGGAGATGCCTTGTTTTCAGTTTACCAGTTCTGATCCGAGGAAAAGCGATTCTCCTGGTGCTTAGTGCAGCCTCTGTGCAGCCAGAGTCAGAAAGGTTGGATAGGGTCATGTGTTAATGGACTACAGGCATTCATTATAGTCTGATGATAATGAATGCTTACAGCTGGGAAAACACATTACAAACCTACAATTTGTCAACTGTATTTCAATTCCACAGAGCACGGACCTGTTTGCCATGATCGAGAGGATGCAGGTATTGTAAACTGTTGCTAAATCTTCAGGCAGTGGTTCTTAAACAGTGGGAGAATTGTCAAGTGTGAATTGAAATTCTAATTCAGGTTATTTACTGCATATTTGACCATGCTTTAGTCCTGCTATTGTTGAGGTTGGAATTAAAATGTGACATTTGTCATTGTTAGACTCATATAATAATTCTAATTACTTATATTTATTTTTTTCTTACACTTATATTTTCCTGTGATAAAAGTATATAACTGTAGCCCTACCTCATAACTTTTTGGCCGTAATATAGTCTGATGTACTGCTTGTCTGTGGCCATAATATTCCACAGTACCTACAAAAAGTTATGTGGTGTTGCTTTAACCAGAGACATTTTAACTAAGGATGATTGTAGCTTATGAAAAGATGGAAAGTTGGAGAACCACTGCCATGAAACTTTTGTACGAATAAATATAATCCTCTTAAATCCTTGGTCTTTAAAGTTCAATAAATACGTTTCCTTCTGGCACTGCGCACCTGCTGCTCTCACTTGTGTGTTCTTCTCCGCCCCTCTATTTGCTATTTCTGTGTTGTGATGTTTGTGGGTGTAGTGATAGTCATAGCCTTGGGCAGATTCTGACTGAAGGACCTCTCACTGCGCTCAAACAGATCCCGGTGTTTGGTCTTCACCTGCAGGAAATCGCCCGGTCGTGTGATGGGTACAAGGGTGGGATTTAGAGCACTGAGGAGATGAATACTAATTAGTTACGTGTATGATTTTAGTCTTAAGGTATTTTATTCAGGGAATTGGCTTTAGTGGTAATATGGATGTTTGGTTAGTTTTGTAACGATGTGACAGCTGTTTTGTTTAGTGACCTATTATGAAAAGTGAATGAAGAATTTCCAGCTCCATCTGTATTGACTTTGTCTCTATTTTATGAACTTAAAATGAAGAAGAACACATAAACTATTGTACAAATGAAAAATGTACCTGTATTTGAATGTAGAAATGCATTGAACATAGTCACGAATCAAAAGATACACACATAACATCATCAGAGTTATCAGGTCACAGTTCAATTTTACTGTGATATTGCCTATTTCACTCTTAAATGGCCCATTTTATGCTATTTTTTATGCTAAATACACTCTGTTCCACCTTGTGATGTCATGTGGTAATACAAGAAGTGCTCCACTGTGTTTTTATACTCCATTCACCTTCACTAGAATCATTTGATTTCATGTTAATATGAAAATTGCCACTTTATGACATCACAAGGTGGTACAGAGCATTTTGAGCTTTGGAGATGTAGAAAACCAAATAAAGCAGGGACCTTTAAACACACAAATTCCAGTATAAGGAGGTGTTGCAGCATATAATATATTGCAAGTAATGTCAATAATAGGACTCAGCCTTACCTTCCGAGACCTTCACCTACTTTTTCTCCTTTCACATTATTTTCTTGTACGGTCAGGTAAATGTAGGGTTAAGTCAAAGCATTTTCTCAAATGTTAGTGACTCTTGTCCATTTCACTTGCTGTCTCACTGCTGAAGATGCACAGTTGACCTCAGCCGATCATTATCTCCTAATGATCAATTGATTTGAAAAGAAGAAGGAAGATTATGAAGTCTATTGTCCTTCCAATTTTACTTGCTTATCTTCTTGCTCTTATGTGCGACTTCCTCTTTTCTGGCATATAATTTGAGCAATGCAAACATGAACCATTGTCACTGAGAATTACTCCTTTATCACTGAATACAAGAAACCTAACCTGCCTAAATAAATGTGTCTCTGTCTGTCCTTGCACATGTGATACTGTCCTCTCTCCACTCTCCAGCTGTGTCCTAACATGCTTATCCTCTTCTCCGCAGGGTTTTAGGATGGATGAGCAAAGGTGTCCACTGCCTCCTCCCCTCAAAGTAAGTTGCAAAGCTCTCTCGTCTCACACACCCCAGTTTGAAGCCTGGTTCTTATCTGCAGCCGGACAGACGTTTTTGGAGGCTCATGGGAGAGGTTTGAAGCAGTCAGGTGGAATCCCAAACTAACAAGCAAGTATGATGTAGTAGGAGGAGTACTCAATGAAAAAGCAAGGATAAGAAAGTGTTTTGTGGAGCTTCAACTAATGATTATTTTAGTAGTTCTGATAAGACAACTAATCAAATTATTGTTGCCGTTGCACACTGAGGTCTGTTAAGAATTTTAACCAGAAAAAGGTTGAAATTTGCTGAATCTAGAGAGACCCTAGATTGACATTTTTTAAAAATAATTTGTATTATTGGTAAAAATGTATTATTTGCTTTAATAATGGCACTGTCTTTGATATAAAACATCTTTTGGCATGTGAAAATCATTGTAATAGTTGACTAGTCAAGATTATGCCAATTAATAGTTGCAGTCCTATACTATTTGGGGTTGTATATGTTTAAAACTATACTCTGAGCATGTGTGCTGTCAGATATTGCAGATAGGTTAGTTTGACAGTTCAAATAAAGTTTGCTATGAGGGGTGAACTTTCCTTGAACTTCTCTGATGAAACTACAGGTAGTGAAATGTACCATGATGAGCTATATCTTTATATCTAAGTTGCTTTATTCTAGTTTGTGCGCACATTTCAATGATACATGTGTTTCTAATGTTGAATGACTCCAAATGACCAAAAGTGAAAGTGACAGTGGACGATCATCTGTCAGTTACACACACATGTGAGACTTTCTCAAGATTGTAACTAACTGCCTAAGGCACATAGAAGGATGTGCTCCGTGCCTCTTGTTATTTCACTTCCTCTTTCATTACACTCACTGATATAAATGAATCCATCCGACTTCAGATACATCCTGTCACACTTCAAACAGAATAACACATATTGCTATTTTTTGAATTTCATTTCACAGCTCTCCCTCTCTGACCTGTGATTTAATAATGCTATATTTTTGAAGGGACTGTATATTTCTTCAAACTAACTATAACTTTTTATTGCTGAAAACTTTTTCATTGCTGTGTCCTTCTTTGACCAGTTAACTCTGGTAACACTGTTATTTCCTGTGCTTGGTTTATTTAAGTGCACAGAAAAATCATTATCTTCTGCTGTGTCTGATTGTGACATTCTCATAAATAATTGAACAGTTAGTTTGCGCACTGAAGAATGTTTTGGAACGATCAAGCCCAAGGAGAATGCCCACAAGACTGTCACACATACCAAAAAATGAAGCCTTAAAATCCTGGTTGTATTACATGTTATATTTACTGAATATGTTTGCTAAGATTTTATATTTTCATTTGATTAGTTTGGGAAAAAGCAAAATTGTGGTAATATAAACCCCAACTATGCATTTTGCATGACTGACGTTGATTGAAACTAACTTTAAAAAGTGAACCCATCATCTGTTAATACATTTGACATCTGTAACTGTGTCTGCGTTGCATCTCATCTTGACTCAAACTTGTTTATCATTTTCCAGACAGAAGAGGATTACATCCCCTACCCCAGTGTTCACGAGGTATGTCCTGAATTTCTAAAGCCCATTCTACTCCATTTGTTTTTATAATGTGAGTGCATGTGTCTGACTGAGTGTGATTTGTGGCAGGTTCTGGGTCGTTGCAGTCCCTTCCCTCTCATCCTGCTGCCCCAGTTTGGAGGCTACTGGATTGAGGGTACTAATCATGAGCCCAAAGACCCCCCAGAGACAGAACAGCCCCCCTGTCCCACCGCACATGTCAAACTGGAGACCAACAGCCTCGCCAAAATCTACAGGAAGCAGTTTATGGGAAAGGTCTGCTGCTCTGTTCAACATATATGTTTTAGTCACCTGCTATGCACTCTAATAATTGAGAGTTAATTGACAGTTTCTTTTAATGTTATGCTAATGAAGGGCTGAACACTTGTGGCAAGATTTGGAATTGTGATTTGAATAATACTTTTTAGAACTGAATAATAAATTCACAGTGCAGATTTCCAAATGCATTAAAGTGCCCATATAACCCTATTGGTTGATTTATGTTATATTTATATTTATATACAAACATGTGCTTTGTTTCATTCCCATATTTCATTTATACATAAACATATTTAGACTGATGTCTTTTCTCAAGCAGAAAACACTCTGTTCCATGGAAGATAATTTGTTCCATCAGAGTTTGAATTTTAAATACTATTTCATTTCTTGCTTTTTCAATATGTTTCATATTTAAAGTAAAAATTTCACCTTTTAAATATTCAGCACATATATTTTCAAGCTCTCAAATTCAACAGTCAAAATTTAGTGTAAAATTTGCTGTGAAAAATGTCACAGACGCTCACTGATGCTCTTTCATCTGAGAGCGGGGATTAGATTTAAGAAATTAAAGAGATGAAGTTTTGATGAGGCTAACTGTGACCAATCAGGCAGGTTCACTATTTCCTGCTTGTTGCTAAGAGTGCTTTCACTCCACGAGGTATGGACAGCATACCAAGCGGAGGGTAGCCCACAGCAGACATGCTTCCTCATACCCTGCCTAAGAGCCTCCCTGGCCCAGGGAGCTCAGACTCACAAACCTATAGGGACTGCCAGCCACAGGGCAGGTGTCTGGACCCAACCGTGGCCCTGTCACACCCCTTAACCCAGGGCGGGGGGGGCAATGAAACTGAGAATGGCTCATTAAATCAGTTTTGGTTCCTTTGATCGCTCTGCCGTTACTTGAACCACGTTTGGCCACAGTTCGAGGTTCGCCCCACTCACCACAAACATGAAATGAAATAATTAGTATCCCCTCCCATGATGCATTTCTAATAGTTGGTTTGGAACTACCAGTGACCTACCATCAGAGTTTTGCATTTGGTGCAGTCCGAGACCACCTCTTTTTTGAAGTCTCAGTCCGCTTGATTTAGTGTGGATCCGAGTGTGATTGATGCTTTCACACCAACAAAAATTAACCAAACTAAGAGCTTCTGGTTCAGATGGAACGTTTGGTGCACACCAAATGCTGTCGGTGTGAAAGTACCCTAAATTAGATTGGATCACTTTTCATCGATTGCTTAGGCCTCGGCATCTTGCATCTTTCCTGTGAATTTTTTTCACTGTGAATTTTACACACTCAATTTTGACTGTTGAATTTGAGGGCTTAAAAATTTGTGCTGAATATTAAAAGGTGAATTTTTTTATATTGAATTTTAAACACTTTGAAAAAGTATACTTAAAATTTAAGGAAATTAAATTCTGAATAAAAATAATTCAAACATGTTTTTTCAGAGTTGAAAAATTCAAAGCGAGAAATTCAGTGGTATTTAAAATTAAAAAATCTGGTAGATGAAATTATCTGACATAGTTCCATCTAATGATGTTATGTGGTAATACAGAAAGTGTTTCACTGTGTCTTTAAACTCCATAGACCTTCACTTGAATCAATTGAATAATTTCAGCCCTTTACTGAACAAAAGGTAAAAAGTAGCTGCTAACTTGAAAACTACGGCTTCATGACATCACAAGGTGGAACAGAGCTTTTTGAGTTTTGGAAATGTAGACAGACTAATAAAACAGAATTACTGAAACAGGTGTAAATAAAAGAAAACACCACTCCAGGTATGTTTTTGATGAGGTAACAACATTCAAATATTGTTTAAAGCTCATAAGAGTAATATAGGACCTTTAAAGGGGCTGTACAAATTTTTTTTCATGTAATATAAATTAGATTTTGCCTCAGTACAGCTATATTAGATATATATATTATATATGACCTCTGTGTGCTGTCTGCATCTTGATCTAAAGCACTTTGACTGCTACAAACTGTTGAAAATAAACAAGTTCTTTTCACATTTTGAGACAGTAAAAAACAGGTTCAGTGACTTTGACAATGAGATTTAAATGGCTTAACTGATACATAAACCAGATGCATTGCAAAACAACTTCAAAGTTGTCTAAACTTTTAACTCAAGACACAAACCTAGATAACAATCATCATTTAAATGTACCTGATGCAACCATTCAAAATGCACTTTCAATGGCTGCCATCTTATGGTCCTATGTTAGTGTTTCTATCTGTTAGTGTCACAGTTTTTCTTATTAAGCATTATATCTGCTCATCTGTCACAGGAGCACTTTAATTACTACACCATGGACGCAGCTCTGGGACACTTGGTCTTTTCCATGAAGTATGACGTCATTGGGGATCAGGAACATCTGCGGCTCATGCTCCGGTATACGACTTCCCATTTCTTTTATCTGTAACCTGTTTTCTGTGCTGTTTGTGCTTATCGGGCTCACTGAAGCTGGCAGTTCAATGATGTGTTTCCAGTTTGATTTCAGACAATATGCGTTGGTACATCCCACATGCGCCTGATAGTCTTTCTCATAAACGCTATCTTCAATTAAACGTCTGACTGCAGCTGATGGGATCATCGGAGCGGGAGATAACAGAATTGGTCCATATTAGACAATGGTATCTCCTAGTCAGAGTGCTTAGTCATGTTTATGAATCAGCCTCTTTTACTGAGGGACACCTGTGTTACTCAGCTACTTTAACATACACAGATCAGGCATATCACGTCCACTGGCAGCTAAAGTGGCATTCTCTCATGGCACCAATTTGTCAGATGGATATCAGATTGATAGTAGGTCAATCCAGAAGGAAATTTCAGTTTAGCTGCAAAAACATTTCCATGTTTCCCAGTTGTGTTTGTGTCTTAGTCAATGGTATCAGTGCATCTTAACAGAAGGTAGGATCAGGTAGTATCAGCAGATCATATGTCACAGGAATTTGAGGAGGGTAAACAGCTCTCAGGACAAAAATGTCCTCTTCTGGCATCACAGTCAACCTTCAGGGGAGCAGGTTAACTCTGGAGACAACAAGACAATAGGAAAACTCTCTCCTAAGCCTCACTCTTACTCCACTTTGCTGTTTTGGTTCAGTGATGAGATGCAAAGTATTCTGTCACATTTGGTTTAAAGAGTTTATAGAACCTTGGAGGTCCATAACTACCTCAAATAAGGAGACAAATAATGATTGGATCCAACAGAAAAACTATCTGTGATAAATGTTGACAGTGGTTTTAATATTTTGCCTTAGTGGTGTACTAAAAACAGGGCCCATTGGTTCTGAGCTGACTTTGCATCTTGTTAAGTTTTTATAGTCAAATCATTTCTGGTAGTCAGCTAGTGTTTTTGTGCTGTTTAATCTGTGTTTTGTTCAGTTTTTTGTTTTTTTGTTTTTTTTAAAGACCTTAGAATTTCTTTTCAAGACAGCAAAACACCCGAGGCACCAAAATATTGCTAAATTGGAAACACATTTGCTGGATGTTTGGGAGTTTGAGCTCTCACCTCTGTGCCACCATTTCTTCAAGTCATAAAGCTATGGACATTTATGTAAGCGTCTACAAAAATAACTATTGGGATCCATTTAAACACTTTCTACTAAAATACTGCAGTGCACTCTCAGTAGGAGTGCTACTCATTTGTGCTGCACAGCCTCCCACCACTATGGCCCAAAAAGGATCTCTCTTTTATTTCACACCTGTTTACTCACCCATCCTCCACCATCCCGTGAATAATTTGAGCCTCAAAGTCTCCTCTTCACTTTTTATAGCAGAAATCTCTTTTTATTCAAGCTGCTCTCATGTGGATTAGTATTAAACAAAGACTTTTTCTGTGCCCACCACATTATTCACAGAGAGATGTTTTCCGCGGATGGGGCACCGCCCACAGTCACCTTGGCGCTTCTTCTCAGAGATTGACTCACTGCGGCTCTATTTAAAACCAGTGGATACAAGTCTGATATGGTTGTGGACAGATGCTTTAAATAAGACTTATTTAACATTCACGGTCATATTTATAAAGTTATTCTACAAGAAAATCAGGACAGGACAGAGCCATGATAGCTTAACAATAGCTGACGTGTTATAACCCTGATCGAAGCCTAAATTAGGACGTTAATATCTGTGGCAGTCTTGGGTTCATATTTTGAATGTATTATGCACATTTCTGAATGAATCATTTAATTTAAAAATGTCCAATCTGCATATTTCTATGAAGAGAAAATTAAAATGCCTATTAAGTTTTTACTTTGGTTAAAAATGGTAAAAAATAAATTGACATAAAATGGACATAAACATGCTTTCCTGTGTGATTAGTGGCTAGGTGGATGGGTAGCCTTATATGCCATACAATGATGTAAAGGGGTACCATGACTCTCAACAGGTGTGTTAGTATTTTTGCATTTTACATTTAGAACCATATAGAACATATAGCTACCCACCATCTGTTCCTTTGTATATCATGTAAATCAAGTGTGCAGGAAGGAATCACAATTGCTTGATAATTGCAAACTCAAGTGACTCTGATCAACAGCTATTTTACGATCACACATTTAATACTAATAGTTCTTTTCTGTCAAACCACATTTATTCGATTTTAGATCTTGTTACCGCGTGTTAAGATTTGGTTTGATGTACTTTCTTCCTCACTCTCTCTCTCTTTGTCCTTCAGCACAAGGCAAAAAACCTACCACGATGTGATCCCCATTTCTTGCCTTACTGAGTTCCCCAATGTGGTTCAGATGGCCAAGGTAGGCTGCAATTATCACAGAATCGCTTCCCTCTGTACTGTGTAATTAGAGCAGCCAAGACTAAGCATTCTATTTTTGCTCACAGCTTGTTTGTGAAGAGGTTAATGTGGACCGATTTTACCCTGTCCTCTATCCAAAGGTACTTTCTATTCACTGATGCAGCTGTCTCCACCTGCTCGCTCTTGTCTCAATGAGGGTGTATTTCACTTTGTTTTGCAGGCATCTAGGCTTATTGTTACATTTGATGAGCATGTGATCAGCAACAACTTCAAGTTTGGGGTGATTTATCAAAAGTTTGGGCAGGTGAGTGGTGCTTTATATAAGACTTTATATAACTTTATACAAGACAAGGCTCTGAAGACAAGAGCTGGGAGATGACAAAAATGAATCACCTTTCTAATATTGAGCAATCCTGATTTTTGATTTGATTATAATTTGATCTATTAAGTAAACCAAATAAAAATGTCTTTCAGTACTAATTTGCTGCGCATAAACAATAACAAATTTGAATTACTGTCATTTACATCCAAAAACATTTTTTCCAAAGCCTAATCAATTCTGGGTGGTTTTAGTACTGAAAAAAAAAAAAAAAAAGAAAGAAAAAGCATGCATTCTTACTCTCATACTTTTAACCTATCTTGGTGGAATCGTCTGGTTGTCTCTATGGAAATTGATCAGTTTAATGCCATATTGTTGAACATTTCAGACGAAACAATGATATCTCTATGGAAACAAGCAGATGACGAGCTCTCACACAGAAAAGTCACATAGTGAACCTTTAAACTAACTACTGTCAATTAAGTTTCAACTGTATTTTGTATCTATTAACCTTGCTGATGTTGCTTTTTATAGACGACAGAGGAAGAGCTGTTTGGAAACATGGAGGAGAGCCCTGCCTTTGTAGAATTCCTGGAGTTTCTGGGACACAAGATCGAGCTTCATGACTTTAAAGGGTTTGTGCACTTTGAAATCTTGTGTCTGTTCTGTCCAACACTGACCATCAGTCATTGTATTGATCTGAGCTGCCCTTTAAATAGGTCCCTTGTAAAGCGTTTTGTAGCAGCAGTGGTTGTGAGCAGCAGACTCACTCATTAAACAGGCTGGAGAAGCGCCCTTGACATGTGCTTGGTGATGAATGAGTGTGCTTGAAAGTGCATGTTTGACCCATTTTAAACCCCTTATTTTGCTGTTGTCTTAAATTGTTTGTGTCAATTGTCAATTTCCTTTTTTTAGTTAGAACAGTCAAATCATGTGAGCAGTCCCAAAGACATGGGTGTTAAGTGAATTCAGATTATTCCCAGTGAATAAGGCAATATGTCACAATGACAATCATGAATTAATACAATCTCTGTTCATGCAGCATGCTACATCTTAAACAACTGTCTTTCATAGTTACCCGTACATTATAGTGCCAGTATTAGTACTAGTACAAACATTTCCTAATCGATTTCAGTACTAAGGAAAAACTGATTCCAATTTCGATACGTTCTAAAAAAAATAAAATAAATAGAAAATAAAATAAAACATATTTTTAATTTACACAAGATGCACTGGTCCCATACATGGAACTACTGGCTCATTTTCAACAGAGACTCATAGTTTTACCATCATGCTACTTCTTTTTGGTATTGATACCTGCTCAAATGAATATCTGGTTTTGATGCAAGGTTTTGTATCAGTATTTGGGTTTGATTTCCAACTTTTGTCAGCATATAGGAATCTGCTGTAGAAGGTTTGCTGCTTTTGGGATTGAATAAAACTAAATGTAAATTATTTTCTGTACCCAAACATACAAAAAATACTTTCCTCTCCTTCCTACTTCAAACAGATGTATATGATTTTTGTTTTTGTCCCTCAGGTTTCGCGGTGGGCTGGATGTGACGCACGGGCAGACAGGGACTGAGTCGGTCTACACAAATTTCCACAATAAAGAGATTATGTTCCATGTGTCCACCAAGCTGCCTTACACAGAAGGAGACTCACAGCAGGTACAGCACCACAGTGACATGTCAATGAGTGGTTGTCATGCTTGCTAATGCGTGCTGGCAAAACACCTATCAATACCCACACACAAGGTTATTTTTATGTCTTAGGAAATCAGAACATACTAGATGTAGCCATGTTGACCAATACATTATATTTTATTACATGCACTTATGAATAATTCTGTAAAAAACAAACAAAAATATAGTTAAGTGTAGTAGTTGATAATAGGGCTGGGCTGGGCCTCTCATGATTCGATACGATACATGATACATGGCTCATGATATGATATTATCATGATATTGTGATACATGCAATAGCTGATTGTTTGTGATTTTGTATTTTAGCAAAAGTGTTTCTTTGTTAAAGCATTACTTGCAAAGTTAACATGATATACATACATCTATTTTAATTAATGTCAATTAATGTAAATATGCCAGGTGTATTGCAAACAAGTTTTCCTCCTCTATTAAGCAACAACACTGTAGTGCAGTCACCAAAACTTCTCTAAAAATAATAATAATAATAACTACAGGCGATCGATACAGTAGTCTACAATAATAATTCTGTGTCACCAAATTTCATATCAGAATACATCGTTATTTTTGCACACCCCTCGTTAATAGGTATTTCTCAAACTACTAGCAATGGCAAATACATCTGAAAATTGATATGTACAAGACACATTTTTATGCAAGCGATGCTGGGAGTTGGTAAATAGAAATCACTTCACTTCAGTTTATACTTGAAAATTGAACTTGGTAACCACAGTAACCCATGCAGATAGCCCATATTGCTGAGCATGAGGAGAAAGGCCGGGCATACAGTAAACACCACCCACATAGATGATTCACGTTGCAAATCAAGGAATCTGTCACCACCATTATTACAAAGAGAGAGCCATGCTGAAGCATTAGCTCATTAGCAGATGTCAAGTGTGGTGCTCCAGCCCTGAACTCAAGTCAGTTTGGAGTGTACAAATCTTATCACAGATACATATGCACTAGTCTACAGAGTGTACCTGATGTATGCCATGAAAAAGCTTGCAGTATGTTCAAATTGCTGTGTGTTCACTTTCGATTTGAGGCAAAATGTGTATATTCTTGAAGTCACTGTGCCTTCCTTTAAAGTATGTTTTAAAGCATACTTAAAGTTTACTAACTTGGAATAATGGTAGCCTGTTATGTACTGTATTTAATAATTACTACTCAGTGCAGTTGGATGGAAGACAAACTCAAAATATGTTCTCAGAAGTAAAAGCAACACTTTACAGTATTATAAACAAAATTGACTTCCCCGTAAGAACAATTATGTGTATGATGTATTTAATTAGCCAACTTCCAATTATTATGAATGTATGTATATAAAACAGTAACATAAATAAAACTGTACATCCAACCTTAAGGCAGTACCTAAGTTACAAAGGCATTAACAAGTTCACAAAATGTCTTGTGTTCAAACAGATGGTGATATTGATGTGAGGTGCACACAAGGCCCGACAGACACCAGCTGTTAAGTAATTGTGCAGCTGACTGGAAAAGTGATATCAATAACTCCCAGAGCAAATGTTTGCCACAATGACTAAGTACACAGTTATTCCACTGTCAGGATGCTTTATTGTTATAGGGAACAGTGTACTGCCTAATGTTAGTTTTAGGACTATATATCTAACAGGGGTGCAATGCAAATGTCCCAGTGATGTTTAGGGACCACATTATAGAGATGTGAGTTCTTCACCCTTGAGTTTACTGACTGTCACTTTATATTTATTATTAAAGTCATAAAAACCTACCTTGATGTGTGCACTGTAAAGTATGTATTTGCTTGGACATAATTTCAAAACTTCGGTTAAGGTACACTTTATTGTCCCTGTATAGGGAAACTTGTCTCTGTTGTCTGCATTTCACTCATCCTTCAATGCTGATTCTGTGTCTTTATTCAACACAGAATCACACATTTATCATGTGTGGCAATCATGGACTTACTCAATGAGTAAAATAGTCTTTTGTCTGTCCATATCTAATTGTGAGAAACACAATGCACTCATTTACAAATAAAAATATTTGGCCATTTCAAGAACAAATGAGCATTTTTAAATATGATAGTAGCAACAGATGGAAGAATGTGACACTCTGAAGTGGGCGTGCTACAATTTACTGGATTCATTTGCAACATCTTGCTAACTTTGCTTAATAAATAAATAAATCACAAATCACTTTTAGTTGTACCCATTTAAAAAAAAAACTGAAAGAGAAGATATTTGCTAATTATTGTATTGATTGTGCTGACTGTTGTAGAACTGCATTAGTGTATGAACTCCAAACTCTGTTGACACAAACATAATTTGGGGCCTTTTGTGAGGAGAGGGCATGTCCCTGCTGGAGCCGTGTCCACAGCTCCACTGGGACAATTTGCTTCACAGTCGATAGTTGAGCGTGAGCCTGGAGGTGATTGTGATTGGTCTGTGTTTTGATCCGGAGTTTGAAGTGCTGTCTCTCCTGATGTGTGCCTTTCAGCTGCAGAGGAAAAGACACATCGGCAATGACATCGTGGCCATCGTGTTCCAGGAAGAGAACACGCCGTTCGTACCAGACATGATCCAGTCCAACTTCCTTCACGCCTATGTGGTGGTGCAGGTGGAGAACGCATGCACCAGCAATGTCATTTACAAGGTGAGCTCAAAGCATGCACCAATGAAATATAATGTTTTATACATCCTATTTTGTCCAATTTAATATGACTATGATCTCCTCTTTCTGCTTTTCATATTTTAATATGTTTTTGCCCTTTATACACAGTAATGTGTACATTGATTAGGTTTCATTTAAAGGGTCTATATTACGATGTTTTCTGATTTATGTTTTAATGTGTAATGTTTCCTCATCAAGACCATACCGGAGTTGTGTGTTGTTTCATTCACGCATTTACCAAACAAACCCTGCATATTTAGACTGAGTTCTTCTCTCAAACTGAAAACACAGTTTTTAAACTCCATAAACCTTCAGTGGAATCATTTGGATCATTTCAGCCCTGGAATTATGAATCTCTATTGAAAAAAGGTAACAGGTTAACTTGAAAACTAAGTGGAACAGAGCATTTTGAGCTCTGAAGATACAGACAGACTAATAATAAAGGGTTACTCAAACAAAACACAACTCTGGGTATGAGTATGTTTTTGATCAGGTAATAACATTATAACATGGCTAAAAGCTCAAGTCAATTTTGCATCATATAAGACCTTTCAGTTTGAACATTAATTGCCAAACTCTGCTCTGTCTAAGAAAAAAACTGTCTTTTTAATATTATATAATGACTTAATATGCCTATTTGTCAACCACAATACTAAGTGGTTGGATAATTGTACTGAAATCTACAGCTTCATCTTTGTTATGTTGCCTGCATATTCAGAGGTTATAATACTCCCAACAAATGGAAGCTTAAATGGACAGTATCTTGTCTCTCTCTTGTCAGGCTACTTTAACTCTTCTATAACACACAAGTCTTTATGCAAGCCTGGATATAATTGGAGAGTGTTTGGAGAGAATTGGAGAGAGACATAAAACCTATGCCTCTGTGGTTAAAATAACTACCTTGTTTTTGTAATTCATAACTCTTATATTGTTACCTCCAGGTGTCTGTAACAGCGAGAGATGACGTACCTTTCTTTGGCCCTGCTCTGCCTGACCCTGCCATCTTTAAAAAGGTTAGGAACCACACAAATACCTCAGCGCTCTTCCTGACAAGCCCACATCACAGACCTCCATTAATTCTGTCTTTTTCCTATTTTTTCTTTCTTTCCTCAGGGCCCAGAATTTCATGAATTTCTTTTCACTAAGCTCATTAATGCAGAGTATGCCTGCTACAAGGCTGAGAAGTTCGCCAAGCTAGAGGTGAGTGATGGAGGAGAGATGTGTGTGTGTGTGTGTGTGTGTGTGTGTGTGTGTGTGCGTGTGTAGAGGTGTGTGTGCGTGTGTGTGTGCAGGGGCTGTATCTTATACCATATGTTATTCTGTCATGCTTGGATTTTTAAAAATAGTTTCTGTAGCTGCAACTGTAATACATTGGAGAAACATGAAAAATGAGAGCTCTCTTTAATTTACATAAACTGGGAAATTTATTTTAAGGCCAAGCACAAAAAATAAATAGAGAGTTACAAATCCTAGTGTTTTAAAACACTGTAACATTTTTAGATGGGCATCTGAAGCAGTAGCTCACCAGTACTGTCTCAGTGAATGAATGGTGAACTTTGCAAAGAGCTATGTCAATTACTATAATTATTTTATGCTGATGACATTCATCTTTCAGGAGCGCACACGGTCCGCCCTCCTGGAGACCCTTTATGAGGAGGTACACATAAATAGTCAGTCCATGATGGGGCTGGGAGGAGATGAGGATAAGCTGGAGAACGGGAGTGGAGGAGGAGGAGGGGGAGGCTTCTTTGAATCCTTTAAGGTACTGTCACTTTCTCATATGTCTCTGTGTTATCTGTTTATCTCTGCTTTGCATGATGATCACTGGACACACTTGTTTTTTGACTGGGATTCTGGGTATTCACACACCAGGAAACAAATCATTTTTCACACACATTTTCTATTTGTGTAACTCAAAACAGCAGTCCTAGCATTGATTTTATTCACTACTATACTTTGTCATTTGTTTCATCAAAGTAATAGTTTCTTAAATTAATAAGATTGTAAGATAAGAAGACTGGATTACAATTCCCTTTTAAAATAAGAGCACAATGCCAGACCATATGCACACTCAGCTACTAAGTGTAAACAAGCTTGGAATTATCTTGGACTTGGAATAAGTCAGAATAAACACATTTGACTCATAAAAAGTTTAAGAATAAAACTTATGTCTATTAAAATATCAAAATGAAACAGCAGTCGTTGTCTGTAAATGACACTTGCAGTAGTGTTGTGTTCACTCTATGGGTCTGGGGCTGTCCTGTGCTGTCACTGGGAGCTCCATGTGACCAGGAGGGCGGTGGAGTGTGCTGCCCAGTAGAGGAGGCTGGAACTGGGCTTGTGTGTGTGTGTGATGAGTGCTTTAATGACCCTCATTATGGAGCTGGAGATGTGCTGCGCCTTCTCCCCTGCGGGCTGCGTCTCCCTGTAGTGTGGCTCCTCCTCTGACTCACTCACTCTGTCATCTCTCAAATGTCTTGCACTTAAACATCAACATAACAGAAATGTGTGTCATTTGCGCCGCATGTTTGGATGTTTTGTTCTTGTTCTGTCCATGTGATATGCTGCTGCTCTACACCATTTTTCCGTCATCACACCTTTTTACTATGAATGTGGCTTCTGTTGTTGTACAAAATGTAATCTTTATCAAGCTTTATCTGTATCATTTTCTGCCTGCCCACATCTGTTTCTTTCATTCATTCTTACAGTGCTTGTTAGGTAGCCCTAGTTTTCATTTTCACTTTTTATATAAATTAACAACAAAATAATTAATCATGAAGCGGAATTGCGCAACTTTTCACCACCATGGAGTTACTATTGCTTTGCCTGAAATGTTCCACAATATGGTATTAAACTGATATAAGATGCATTTATTGAATTATGGGTGTTTTTAGTGCTAAAAAATGCCTTTAAAAACATGCATACTGGCTGTGATTGGGGCCGCCTCTTCACAGATCTGACTTGTAAATTGGCCTGTGGTGTCTCCTGCTTGTCTTTGTGGAGATTGATAATGTCTTCAAGGAAACACGCTGGCAGGCGAAAAGCACCTTTACTAGTAAATTGCATTAGTTCTTATCTCATAGACAACTTGCACTACTCACTATGGTGTCGGTATAGTTGTACCACTTTTCCAGCGGTCAGTACCTGTCATGATGTCTGGGAAGCAACTCCACCTCATCCATGGGGAACTAGCTCACAACCTCCAGGATCTGTCTGTTTGAAATATACAACAGCAAACTTTCACAAACTTTTGGGATCAATTTTGTATCAGCGCAGTCTACAAAACCCTCCCCCAGGTCAGCACTGGTCCAGCAGCACTGTAGAAAAGCACACATCTAACCCATTAGGACTGATAATGCCTTCAAATGATGAGTGTAAATTATGGTCTTACATCATATCACGATACAAAAATGTCAAAATAAGGGAAAGGCTTGATACTCTGTGCCAGTTTTGATACCACAATGAGACTTTTTAGACAATATCTTTCACAAAACAACAGTAATTTCTTTAATTTTACCATCACCTTGTACTACTTCTGGGTCCACGTCAGTCTGTTCAGTCTAACTATTCAGGAAAGCTTCATTTTAATTCCTTTTTTGTAGGATTTGTTGCATTTTCAGGTTATATGAGCAAAAAAAACATTTCCCCATTCCATTTTGCTCTATGAGAGGTCAGAACTTTAAGACTAACTAGAAAAGCATTCAGAGAGCGCAGACCTCCGCCAAGGACTACTCCCATTTTTTATATAAATTGCGATAAAATCAGTCTTCTGGATCAGATCCGGATCAGCCTTTGGAATATGAAAGAGGATCCAATTGTCCATCCCTGAGTCAAATTTCATGGGGTTTGGTCAATAATTAACCGAGATATTGAGAAACAAAATTTTTGGCCTCATTTACTACAATGTTAACTAAAATCCAGGATTTCTTCCGGATCACCCCCAAAATGAAATCAGTTCTTCCTTTTCACATTTCCAACAAATCCTGAAAATTTAATCAAAATCGGTCCATAACTTTTTGAGTTATGTTGCTAACAGACAAACAAACAAACAAACAAACGCCGGCAAAAACATAACCTCCTTGGTGGAGGTAAATATCTCATAACTACCCTGAACTCACAGAACCTTAAAAGAGGATGCAGTCTCAGTATCAATTGGTTCACGATAGAGCACCACAGACAGAGACAGTGCACTGACAGTGTCTCCTCATCTCTCCCTGCAGCGGGTCATCCGCAGCAGAAGCCAGTCTATGGACGCCATGGGCCTCAGTAACAAGAAGTCCCACACAGTCTCCACTAGTCACAGTGGCAGCTTTACCCATAATGCCGCAGAGAGTCCCAAAACCCCAGGCATTGTAAGTAGCTCTGTTTTGGTCCACATCAAGTCTAAGTGGTCATATATTGTCACTTCTGATAGTATCCCAAAGTGGGTAGAGTAGCTTAAAATTGTACTAAAGCAGAAATACTGTTACTTAAAAATAATATTACGCAGGTTGAAGTGCAAAGTAGTGATCCAACAGAGTAAAACATATGCAGGGAAACGTCAGCCCAACCAAGAGTAAGTCTGGACATTACATCTCATTTATAGTTTGAAATTAAGTAATTGGAGCGACAAAAGATTATATAATATACAAAAGCTGGTAATTTCGAAAGGATGGACCACAAAAATGAGAAAGAATAAAACAAATCACATCTGGAGTGTTGTAAGAAACACAAATGCTCAAATATATTTAAAATGTAATATATACATATGTAATATACTTGAGAAAAAGTCTGGTGCCTGAAAACTAGCCACCTCTGTCAATAACTCCACGCAGACTTTGATTCAAATTAAATACAGGGCTTTTTGAATTTGTTTTGCACTCAGGTCTGAGCTGCTTATCACTGTCATTCACCCCAACATTTCCATTCATTCTCATCTGTTCAAATTATACTAAGAGCATCACTACATAAGCTGCATTGATAAAGGAGACTAAATAGTGCTTTTTATTAAGAGAAGTGCCTCTTGAATCTGAAGATGTGTACTGTTAATGAATTCAAACACCTAATTAAAGTTAATGAGTTGTTTGACTACCCAGACTCCCTCTCTTCTGTCCTGCTTGTGCCTCTGTCGTAACTCTCTGTGCTTCCTTGTGCATGTGTAGCTGAGTAGTTTGCATGAAATGAAACAAGACAGTGAGTAGCTTTCTGCCCAGTTGGAGTCATGTGGGGTTAATTTACACTCAAAAACAAATTATATAGTTGTTCTATAAACCTGAATTAATTACAAAAAATTTGAATGTTATAATTAGTTAAGTTATAATTATCCTTTTGTTGTTATTATTATTATCCAAGAAAACAGAATGAGGCTCACATGAGTCTCTCATTTGGGTTGACTGTTTGACCATCCAGTTATAAGGACTCTCTCTGACCTCAGTCCTCACTACCTAAACCCCAGCACATGTAGCAGTTCTGTAGAGGTTCTGAGCTTTCACATGAGGCATGGCATGTCCAGATTCTGAATGAGAAAAACTTGTTGTGTCCTAAATGTGGTGGCTAAAGCCCTGACAACCCAGTTCCATTGTGCTGTAGTTCATTTTATGAAGTGGTAAGTGTGCAAGCTTAAAAGTATGGCATATACCTTTAACTCATAATTACTACAAAGATCAGAAGTATTTCTAGACTAGCTAATAAATACTTGAGATTATTTATTTATTAAATGTCTGCGTATACTGCTAAAAGTTTTGTTGATTTGAGTGACTTAACCCCATTCCTAAAGTTTGGATCTTGTGTTTGGTCCTGCTCCTCTTTGGCTTGTCCTCCTCCTAATGCATCATCACTAAAGGCTCTTGTCTCCCTGTGGCTGACATACATGGCTCTTTCCCCTCTGTGTTCTCTCTGCTAGCCTCCTGTGTTTGCCTGCAGCTGCTCTCACACTCCCCGCTCAAGCTCCTCACCGTCCCCTCAATGTCATGTCCAAAACCTGCGGCCCTTTTGCACCTTGCTGTTTATTCCCATTGAGCTGTGCGCATGAGATCTTATGATGTATTTATCTTTTTCTTCCCCTTCTCCACCCCTGGCTTTTTTCTATCTTTCATCTCCTGCCTCTGCTCTTGCTTTTTCTCTCTCTCTCTGCTTCTCTTGCCATGTCTTGTGTGGCTCAGTCATTGCTTGTCCCAGGCAAAAGCCCCAGTAAATACGGACGTCGAGGCAGTGCCATAGGGATAGGAACAATAGAAGAGGTTCATGTATATTTTTACCTTCTTATTCTTTTTTTCAAGTGTGGTACTTCCTGTGGTTTTGTGTGACACTTGGTGTGTGTCAAAAATAACAAATAGTTTATAAAGAATGATTCAGACATAGTGACTACTTTATAATCTAATCCTTTGATTAAGTAGTTACTGAGCCTGAATACAACTGAATAAACCATTTGTTCATTATGATATGATTATGATTGTTCATAATGAAGTCTTGTTTATGCTTCATTAAGGATAATTAAGATGTAGTATAAAGTGGTTCAAAATGTTTTAACTGAAGGCCTCATCCTGATCCATTCATTTCACTCATTTGTTCAGCACTGACACATCTTTTCTGTTAGGGACAAGTTGAAAAGGTGACTTAAAAAATAAATAAATAAAAGTGTTAGATGATAAGAAATTTTCAATAGCTTATTATGAAAACACAAGAACAATATTAGACCTGTCACCATAACTGCTACATTGACATCATTCAAGAAATGATATATGCAATGATATTTTGGGGGCTAAATTTTTTTTGCATGTAGATTTTTTATTTTATTTTTTGTAGTATCATATGTTTTGAGTTGTATTTTATTGACTCTGTCCTGCTTTAGGCTTAGTGTGTCAGTGGCATAAATTAGTTTCATTAATATTGTTTATTGCGATATTTTCAGTTGCAATGTATCACACTTCAGAATATGTTATTGTGACAGGGTCTAGGCACAATGGCATGCATTCATACTGTGTATATGAACCAAGTCATCCATATACTTCATTTTCATATTTCTCGCTTTAGGCTTAGTCATTATCCTTCCTTTTTACTTATTTTTCATCACCTAGTCCTTCTAACAAAAGAACATGTTCAAATTCTTTTGGCTTCAAAGTACCTCATGATTCCTTTACAGCAGCAAAATGACATTTTAACCTTGAAGTCTGACTGCTTCAACTAAATTAAAATAATTTGTTGCAAAAAGTGTTTAAGTAAATTTCTTCAAAAGATCAAAGGTTGACTTGACCAATGGGTAATATGTATCTGTAGTCTGTATGTACTATGTCTGATTATACTTCTCCCATTATTCCACTGTCAGTCATTGATCATTCCTGGAAAGAGCCCAACCAGGAAGAAGTCAGGTCCCTTCAGCTCACGGCGCAGCAGTGCCATTGGCATTGAAAACATCCAGGAGGTCCAGGAAAGAAGGTGAGGGCACAGCACCTGAGAAGAAGCCAAATGAGTTTGTCTCTGTGTATTAGGATTACTACATGAAAGCTTGTTTAAAGACTCTCCAAGGTGATTTGAAATAAATGTACTATCGCACAGTATCATTGTAATATTTGATGTTAACGAAAGTAGTTTTAGTAAATTAAGATAATTCTTTTTACGCTGTATCAAAATGGACAAACGTAAAGTCAACATTTTGGCGTGCATGTTTTGTAAAAGCGTTTTCAACTTAACTGACTTCAGGGCTAATGCAAGCCCCTAATCATTTCCAATGAATTTAGTCACTCTTTCATATTTCAAATCACTGTAATAATCTGTATGTATGACTATTCCAGTTAGTATTTCACATTATTGCAACCAACTTTTGAGTCCAGACACACCATTTGTGAATATTACTCTCAACAAAATGATAAATAATAAATGAAAACATGTCCCTAGTTAAGTAAAGTATCTTTTTACATCCACACTAAAATAGTTGTACATGCTCTCGCCCTCATTTCACCCTTTTTTTCTCCCTGTTCTAGCCGTGAGGTGTCACCCAGCACCCAAAGGACACCAGACAACAGCCATTTATCACAGGAAAACAGATCGGACAACTCATCCAATCACAGCTCCCCAGAGTTTCCTGCCACCAAGAACAGGTGAGTGGAGAAGGTTACTGGTGAAGGCAGGCCAATGAGGCTGGAGAGGATGGTCAGAAATAACAAGACAGCAAGCTAACAACCCTCTGATATCACATTCAGAAAATACTGTATATGCAACCAAGAGCTGGAACTGCTGTGTTTCAGATAACATCACAACATTCTCTTAGGTCAAGAATATTTGATACAGATGGAGGCAAACATTATTAAAATGCTTATTTAAGCTGTAATATAGAGAACTGTAGGGTCTAACCACAAATAGAAATGATCAAGTTTGATATTTTTTTTCTTTTGAATATTTTTTTTAAATAAAAATACAATGTAAAAAATGAACTGCTGTCCCTGTCTGGGAGTATTGCCACATTCTATTAAACGTTGGTAGTCAATAAATTCAAGTCAGTTTTCCCAACATCCATTATAAATGTGTTCCACTGCAACAGTAGGGGAAAATATGGATGCCTGAGAAAGTTTCATGTCCAACCGTCTCGGTCTGCACCGAAGTAGCCCGAGTTTCTGTTTTCTCGAGGTGGAGGTCGGTTTTCCCCGAGTCCCAAGCACAATGGAATGTGCCATAAGTCATAATCACATTCTAGAATCTGAAAATAACCAATAGCTTTTTCCAATCATCCGCTTGATTAGTGCTGACCAACAGCCAATAAAAAAAAAATCTAGACTGGGCTTGGATCCAGTGTTTTAAACTCAAACAGAAAAGCATATTTTATTACTTGTGATTGTGTAATTTCCCAGGTGAATTCTATGACACTATGCTGCATCAGACTTTACATAATGAGACAGGTATTCAATGCTGGGACTTGAATGACCCAGGTGTGTAGTCTGAACATGTGTTGCAGAGCTCCATCTATCCCAGAGCACCAAGACCTGTCCCGCTCCTCGTCTAATGCCAGCAGCTTTGCCAGTGTGGTGGAGGAGAATGAGGGGGAGGAGGAGTACGAAACAGGCATGGTAGGTTTTGTACAGATAAATACTATGCACTGTGTATAGGCACTAAGCATTTCTATTTAGCATCTTTAGCTCAGATGCCTGCTGCTTGTGTTTGCTGTTTTGACCTATGCATTTAGAACAAGCATGTGGTGCAGTTTGATGGATTACACGCTAGCAGGAACATGTCATGTCTGTTACTGTGCAATGAATATTTATGTTTTTTTTTACATTTCTACAACATTTGACATCTGGAAAAATTGAAAGGAGGATATGAATGAAAATGCAAATATATTCTCAGAGCGCAGCAGCATCTGTGATTATGTCTGTCAGGCAGCAAATTGCGTTGTCGTTGTTAAGGATTTCGTTCTAAAGGAGCAAGAAAATTCATGCCTTCTTCCTTCTTCGTACTTGTTTCAGGAAAGTGTATCTTGTGTAACACCACATAAAAGGAACTCGCTGGGCTCTGGATTTGACGACAGCTTGTCCAGTATCAACCAGGGGAATTTTCCAGGTGAGTTTAGTGGTCTTATGTTTCTGGGTCTACAATAGCCTAAAGGACTGTGTACCTGGAAAAGCTTTCTCAAATGCAGGTTATCTAGGAGTAATCTATATGGGACAAGGCTCTACTGTCAGAGCAATTAATACTGGAGCTCCCAAAAGGAATGAACTTCACCTCAAGAGATTGTTTGGATAAAAAGTCTTTAGCGTGAGACTATGTGGTAGATTGTGCTGCTAAGGTATCATTAAGTGAGACCTGTTTAACTTGTTTGGTGGAAATCCCCCACAAGAGAAGTACAATATACAATACTTAACTTTTCCTGGAATGTTCCACAGTATGGCATTAAACGTGCCTTTTACTGTGAGCTCGGTTGCCTCTCCACAGAACTGACCTGCGTCTTCACCTTTTTTTAATGCCTTACTGTGGGAAGTTCTTGGCAAAGCAAAATCATTGTCGGGTGGGTCGATGGGACAGCCGCCATCTCCCCAGTCCTCAGTTTTTTTCTTCTCGGGGGGACATCAGGAGGGGGTCTTGCCCAGGGCGCAAATCAGTGTAGGATTGCCACTGTAGACAAGCAGGAAGAAAAGTGGTGAACACTCCACCAGAAAGGTTACACAGAAGACCTTTAACCTATTCGCATTTATGTAACTTAACTGTTAGTAAATAGATTGCTGTTTATGAATTATAGACTGGTCCAAGAGCTTCAAGTGAGTTTTAATGGAGGTTTTGATGATTCTCTAATTTTGACATAATTTGGTGGGATAATACCTGTTGTAAATATAAATTGTCATTTTACTCCAATCAAGAAGCAATTTAGAAGAAACAGTGAAAAATATGTTGAAAATTACAAGAAGTAAAGAGTTCTATTTTAGTGATGACATCACTCTAGAGAGAATTCTGTTCATAATCATTAAAGGAGTTTTGTCCCAGTGTAGGACAGTGTGTGGTTTTGTGTGTGTGTGTGTATATATATATATAATATATATATATATATATATATATATATATATATATACACACACACACGCACACACACACACATATATAAAACTTCCTGCTGTCTCCATTACCAATGATTCACATCATTTGTTGTATAGGGGCTTATCAGTTTGCAAGCACTGCAAGCTTGAGTTTATTCTTCCTGACAGTCACACATCTGTTGCTGTGCTCTTCCTCAGCAGCCACTCGTTTTCAGCAGCACCATGATGCAGTCAAAGGGTCAGAGCCCAAAGGGACAGACAGCTGGGCCAAGACAGAGCGACCATCACTGCAGCAAAGGTCCTCTTCTTCGGTGAGATAATCTGCTTCTTTGTAGGAAAGTATACAAAATATCATCATGGGTTTTTCAATGAGGAAGAAATAGGACACAGCAATTAACAATTTAAAAGGAAATATTATATTTTTTGAATGAGAAAAAGTACTCAAAATGTTGCCCATAAAAGGAAGCTAAAACTCATAAATAATTTGTGGTAATGCTTGTACTTCATATACTAGGGTATTAGCCACTTCAAAAGTAGTAATTGTTGTTTCTCAATATGATTTATAACTGATAAAACAGAATACAAATATTATGTGTTTCAAATGAAATTCTGAAGCGTAGTAACATTTTGATTGTATTTGATTGAAAGGTGTCCATTTCAATCTATTTAAAGGGTTTACAATATGATACTTTACTGCCATCTAGTGGTTATAAACAATAAAATAGAATTCATTATTTTAGTATTGAACTTGCTGAACTTAAAACAACTAATTATCTTTTCAAATTATTATTTTATTTGCAGTTTTAGGTTAATAAAAGATATAATCAATGCATAATTACTTCTTTTTATGTAAACTTACAATGGTCTGTAATCTCCTCAGCATTCATGATGAGAAACTATAAGCCTATAGGGCAAACTTTGACCACCACTGATGCATATGGGAGCAGAGTCCTACACCAGACCCAGAAGACTGACATTCATGTGGGTGGGGCCTGGCTCAGCCCTCCCATCAGCTCCATGTGGACCCCTTTAGAGACTTGAAAAAGAATGGTCAGTCCATGTAACACTACTGAACTGAATCTGTCTACTGAATCTGTCTACTGAATCTGTCTACTGAATCTGTCCACTGAATCTGTCCACTGGGCCAAACGGCAAACCTGTGTCTTTTAATGTGTGTTTTTATTTTAGCACTGAGGTTGTACACTATTAATAATTAAGTTGAATATTGGGTGAGTAGAGAGAATAGTCCTACTGAAATTCAAGTCAGGGTCAGCCACATCATTTGTTTTTAAAGTAAATGTAGTCACTGTCACGGTGTACTGCCATGGCCTTTTCAGTTGTAATAAGTTTAACCCCAACCGAGCACTGCCTGTGTTAGTATTCATACAATGATCTGAGCACATGGGTGTCTATGGCAAATTAAAAGTGAAACTTGTTCAATGTTAGTTCTATCTACTTTATGTGTTGTGTGCCTTGTGGTCTCCAGTTGGAATAAGCGACACCATTCACCATTTAAACAATGTTGACGTTTTACTGATATTAAATTCATGTTGAAAAAAGTTAGTATATTATGAATTCTACTTATGAAATCTGATATTTAGCAAATTCTGATATAAGAGACAAATTATACTGTATATATTCTATTACAGACACATACTAAAATAGCAGAGTCTATTGTTTGCAGACATAACATCCCAAAACATACCTTAAATATGTACTTTTCTTTACACTGTTAAACATTTTGTTAAATTATAAAAGATGCATTTATTGATTATTCAGTCAAAGCATTTTATTTCAGTTATTTAAGAAATTGACTAAATGATGAATGAGTCCCAGTACTTTATTCTTTATTTTTAACTCCTTGGCTACACACCCTGCTTGTTGTTTTAAATCTGTGTACTGGTGCATGGATAAAACAGTTGCTTGCCAAAAACTCTTCCTCTGTGCACTGGTGCCATGCTTACATTGAGCTTGAGCATCTGTGTGACTTGAAAACCAGCTCATTCTCAGATTTAGAGAGCCACGTTTCTTTTATTTAATTTATTTGTATTATATGTGTAATATATGTCTGTGAAAGAAGCACTACAGTTTTTCAGTGGTTTTAAAATGCTGACCGAAGCAAATGAGAATATGAAATACACTGTGACTTGTGTGAGGAGGCCTTTCTTCTCTGTTGGTGAGATGCTGTTAAAAGAAGACCATTGCTGGTTTTGAATGTAAAAAAATAGACAGACCTGGAAATATTTGTACAAATCTTGTCAAAACTGCTGTAATATTGTGGAAACGTCCTGCTTTTGTTTTATTTCAATGTGTAATTGACATTGATATTGCAAACTTAGCCATGTTGACTGATATTTTTCTAAGAACTGCCTTGAGGGATCAAATGTTTTTCTTTCTCTAAACTGATAGGGTTGAGTTGACTGACTACACCCTCCTGTGGCTCAGTGTTGTAAGCACATCTCTCTGTTCAGCCATTCCTGTGCGTGCTTGCACTGTTTGCCGGCGCCTATCCAAACCAGACTGGGAGAAAATCTTCTATGTGCTTGGTTCAAATGATTGTATCTTTGTTCTTGTAAACAGTCTGCTTACGCCCTTGTTCAAAAGACATGTAAATGTAATGTTTGTAAATAAAGCAAGCATAAAGATTTAATAAACAATATGAGATTGGTACAATACAAACTGTATGAGCTTTATAATCACAATAATAGCACCTTTATTTACCTTTATGTTATTTGAGGGATAATGTAACAGTAGAGGTGTAAATATATTTGATTCTAACAAAATAGCTTGTTTCTGTCTCTTAAAGTTAGTACAAGGAATGGACACATTCAGGTTTGAGTGACCACCCTCTTGTGACTTGTAACAAATATGTGTTATGTTTCAGGAAATATTTTGACCTATAAAACCTTCCTCTTTCTGATTAATGTAAAAACTCAAATTATAGTTTTGCAGTCATAAGCAACGTATTTGAAATGAGCAGGATATACTTGTAGAATAAATGAGATCTTGCCCTCTGGTCTATGTTTACTGTAGCTAGATTTTTGCTTTTATCCTAATATTTTCCATGGCAACAGGGTCTTGCTACCACATTACTCACTGCTCTTGAATCTTGAAAACCAATAATAACCAATTAACTGAGAAGTAATTAAATGGCTTTTCACATTTCTATGTTCCACCATTTGAAGTCAAAAGGAGCTCTGCGGACATTGGAGCCACAATGCACCTCTCCCAGTAGTTTGTGGTAAGAGGCGAAATCATCGATGAAAGTACAGGTCAGGCCCAGGTTCCCCATTAGAGAGACCATCTCCTGTTCCAGGGCACATACCCCATTCACTTGGGGGCCAAAGGGCTTCGGGATGCCCAGGTTTCGCCCCAGGACTATCAAGTTCACCTGAAAGACGCAAGGTAAGAATCAGATAACATTTTATAACATTACCAAACTGTTATTGTTACTGTTATTTTAATTCATTTGATTGGTTTAATTTTTTTTACTGCTGTTTTATAGTCTTTGCCTTTTATTTGATTTCACTGGTTTTATTATTTTAGGACTGTAAGTTCAAATTGGGCATTTATTCCATTTGCTATCTTTTATTGTTTCTGTGTTATAACTTTGGAAACAGCATGTTTATAAAATGTGCTATCACAGCACATTTTCTGTTTGAAAATATATATCATTTAGTCTACTAAAATGTTACCAAATCAATCAAATATGTGGTATATAATGTAGCAAATATTGCCTTGTCACTGTGTCTGGCAATAGTGATTGTTTTCCCTTCTTTTGTGGATAAAATGTTTGCTCAGGACTCTCCAACATGGTAATTTATTCAATTAAATCCAAGTATGAATCTGTTAACTCTAATTGGATATTTTTAAAGGGCACATCCAGCTGTACCTCAAGGCATGCTTGTGTTACTCAGGATACTGGTTGAAAATTAAGGTATTATATAATTAAGTGTATTTGAAATATAAATAAATATTTTAATAAAAAAAAATAGTTTTTTTTTTTTAAAGTAATATTTAAGGAAAAGGTTTTTGTAGAAACATATTTACATATATTGTTGATAAAACTGAACTGAAAACTATGTTTTGTAAACTTCAAGAAGACATACCATGTCTGGGTAATAGGCCGCTGCTCTGTACTGACCGCGGTACTCCAACAACTTAAACAGGATGGGCAGATCAATAATGTCTTCGTCATCCAGGCCCAGCTCCCTCTTCAGCACATCTCTGTTCCAGTCAATGCAGCTCTAAACAAGCACCAGGGTTACTACACAATACGTGACTTATGTGCAAATATATAAATAAATAAATACTGATGTTACTATCACTTATTACTAGTATAGTATTATTATATATGCTCACCTGAACATAATTATTTTCAGCTTGCAGTTGCTTATCGTCCAGTATTTCATTCACTGATATAGAGTCCTGATCTGGAATCTCTTCGCCATTACAAACAGAATTGAATGTGGAATCAAATATACCATATAAAAATGATCATCTTAAGAAAAACAGACTCACCCTCAAACAGCATGGCATCACCATGACCATCATTCTGCAGGTTTTTGAATAGTTTGTAACCTGCATCTGGACTGGCCAGCAGCAGTCGGAAACCCTGTCATTGACACAGTGTTTAAGAAAGAATTCACAGTAACAATTATTAAATGATAAAATATTAAACAAACTAAATATTCACCTTTCTATCTTTGGCAGGAACAAATGACATAAACTCATCAACGTGGCCCACTTCTAGCCAGTCAGAATATAAAGCTATGGGCTCTTGAACAGTCTGGGCCCACAGGAAGTTCTGGACCATTTTTGTCATATTTCGTCCTTTAGATGCTCTTTGCAGATTAACAAAAACATTAGAAGTGTGGCAGTACCACAGTAGGCATTCAGAAACACAATGCATTATCACTATGGCACAAGTTCTAAACCTAGGGATATTATGGATACATAGATTACAAGATATAACATATTTATGCTTACGTAGGGAAGGCCACTCCAATGATGATTCTTCCCAGGGGGTAATGTTTTCCATTGACAGTGACTGGAGGACTGACTTCCAGATTGCCAAAAGAATCCAAGCTACTCACATCTTTTCTGCTTGGCACTCGTGTCACATAACCAAAGTCTGGGCCCTGGTAGTGGGCACATTTTATTAACAAAAAAGAAACTTAAATATTTAAAATACTCAATCTATTCTAAGTTCAACTTACCAACAGCACGTCATAAGGAAAGTCATCTAGTTTTCCATTCCGGGGAGAATCCAAGACAACAGGAAATGAGTGATGCGGAGAATCAATATAGCCAAATTCCAGTTCATCCTATAAAAGAAAATGTTGATATAGTATTAGAAAAAAATCATAAAATAAAATATGTTGAAGTGAAAGCAAATGCCACACTTTGGTACCTGCATCCAGCGATCTCCCCGGTTCATGTACTCGTAGCAAATGTTCAGTTTATAGCCGCAGCGGTCTACAAGACTCTGCATGCTGCTCAGGAATTTGTAATTATCTTTTGTGCTATGAGATAGAGACAGAGATAATTCGCAGAACAATTTTGATAAAACAGAATATACATATATCCATATATTTCAGAACCTGTTGATAGAGCTTTAAACTACATGTACTATATTATTATTATTATTATTATTATTATTAATAATAATAATAATAATAATAATAATAATAATAATAATAATAATAATAATAATAATAATAATAATAATAATAATAATAATAATAATAATAATAATTGGAAATGGCTGTTTCTTGAAACTTGATTAAAATCCTATTCATTGCACAGCCCTGAAAGGTTAGTCGAGTAACTTCTGTGTATTTTGTCATTGTATCTGTTGTCATAACTTATTCATTCCTCACCTGCACACAAACACCTCCACAGGCTCAAGGGTGTTAGGTGTCATGATCCATGGAGCCACTCTGAACACAACAGTGTCAGTGAAGATGGGTGTCTCAGGAATACCCTGTAAATCACACTTCTGTCGTATCACAATCATTTATGTAACCGCTGCATAAGATAAAGAGATCAGTTCTTACTTCACCGATTGGTTCTAACAAACTGAGGTTAATGTGGACTAAACCATCAAAATCTTTGTCAGGAAATGAAACTCCCTCCACATAAAACATGATCTCATCAGTTCCCAAGTATGGGATTTCCTTGCTGAGGACTTCACTGTTCAGTACCAGAGGATAACGTTCCCCTAAGGCAAAACATACGTCGTAAATACATTGAAATACTGAATAATATAAAAAGACAGTTTGGGTGTGATTTTAACCCTTTTACCACTGGTTATGAAGACTCTGATATTCTCTCCATCGCTTTGAGAAATGTGCAGTACAAGTTTGTAGCCTTCTGGAAGCTTGGGCGGGCCTTTAGTTCGCAGCACCATTGGAGACATGTCCTTAACATCTACAAAAAAACACTCACGTAGCTGAAACATAATTTGTAAGAGAAAAGTCTCTCACAGTTTTACTGCCTACCTCTTATTGCTTAGATGCTAATGGTAAATGGTCAAATGAAAAATTGTCACATTTTTATATAGTGCAATTCTACTGGTGCGTACACGAGTCTATGCAGACACTGTGGGCGAGGTGGGTTAAGTGTCTTGCCCAAGGACACAGCAACAGCATTCATCTGTGAGAGATGGTATCGCACCGCCAACCTGTGGGTCAGTGGATTTGACCACTAACCCAATGATGTTTATGTCAAGAGCGGGATTTGAACCGCCATTCGGCTCAATGGACAAACGATCTATCAACTGAGGTACTGCCAACAAGAAGTTATTGGTTGTACCTGATGACTTAAGGATGCGTTCTCTTTTGTAGTCCGGCTTCCTCCTGTACAGAGTCTCAGAGTCACAGTTGACAAGTACGACTGCTCCATGACCACGTGGACCCCATTTCCATGCATTCTAGTGTGTATTTCAAACAAACATACAACACCCATAGTAACTAAATGCAGTCATGTCTAATCAATGCACAAGTCATTCAATGCACTTCTCTAATACGCACCTTATTAGGATTGTTCTTCTCCACAAAACCATCTCTGTCAGCATCCACATCCAGGGAGATATCTGTATGACAATGTGAATTGTTCTTAATAATCCACAATTGAACCCATAATGAAGAAAGGCATCTGTATTCATCAGACCATACCAACTGCTGTCAAGTGCAGGATTGCTTTGTCCAAGACTTTCTTGTTAGCAGCATAATACCAGACTGAAAGCTAAACAAGAACAAAAATAAGTATTGCTAAACTATTGGTGTAAATAAGCAATAGTGGTTATAAACCTTTTTTTAGTAATGACAACCCCTATAATAACAACTTTTGGCCTCCATGACCCCCTGTTAAATTAACATTTTGGAAAAAGTTTGTCTTTTCACAAAGTGTAAATGGACAAAAAAGTTATCCCTTATTCTGTCCCATTCACTTTTACATGTGACCTCTGCTGACCCGCACTTCCAGTTAAGTGACAATTACATTCATTTCAATTACTACATAAAGGTTGGCTAAAATACTATATAACATAGGTTAATTTGTATATAATGTTCAATGCTCATATGCAACAAACAAGTAAGGTAGAATACCCACAAAACAAAATTAGTCTGTAAGTCTAAGGATTCATTTTATTATAGGGCTAGACAGATACATTCTATAATTCCTCAAAATGGAATCTTTACCATTACTACTACATTAGAAAAGGGTCAAACCTTATTTAAAGCCTTGGTACATAAAGAAATGTTTCTGAAATGTACTAGCACACTGTGTAGTTGAGAACAACTCATTTAGTTTACAGGGAATGTGTACAGTTTGATTTACCTTGTTGTCATTCTCCTGAGTACTAGCTTCCTTCATAGTGATGAGTAAGACAGAGTTGTCCTTAAGACGCACAGGGGAAAGGTAGGAAGAGGCCTGGGGCAGAGGACTGATAATGTACTGCACATTGTCCGTGCATTTCACTGAGAAGTATTTGGTCTTGGGAGGTGCACTCCTGCCAGATAAAAGACACATCAGGTGTTTGTGGTAGAATTAGCCATGTGGGTGTGCAATGTTTTATTACTTGTTAAGTAAACACCAGGGCTTCACTCAAACAAGACCACAACTATGCATATAGTGCAAATGGTGAAGTCAACTTAGTCTGCCATTCACCAGGCAGAGAAGGTTCAGATAAAAACTGTAAAATCACTTCAGTACATGTGGTAGAATTAAAGCCCTTATTATTGTTGTCCAGAGAAAACAAGGTTTCCTCTGTGTGGTTTGCCACAACAAGACATTGATTTTGCTGAGGTCAGTCACTGCCATCATATACAATGCAAATGCCTTCACACCCACTTACTGGTTCTGTTTAACAATAGAAGGCTCTAGTCTAGAAGCTCTGGCGTTATTTCTTGTAGTTATTGCAGTTCTGGACACTTGGAAACATACAATGAATCACTCACACACCAGACTTTAAAATGTACAGTCATTAGTATATCCTGTTGCTTCGAAATGGCACTCGTAAGAAGCTTAACCCATGAATAGACCAATAAATTGCCTATTTAGGCAAAAAAAAAAAAAAGATTAGACATGACTAGACTAAGTCTAGACTTAGACAAACTTTATTGATCCACAAGGGCAGTTATTTGGACACAGTAGCTTACTCATCACTATATAACATAACAAAAAATATATATAATGTTAATAAATCAGGGTTGGGTAACTAGCACAGAAAGCATATAAGTGCACGGACCCTACCTAGACAGCTGGGAGCTGCTGCTGGGGTGGATCCCTCACTCAGAGTGCAAGTTGAGCTTACCTGTTCAGGTTTACCACTTGCTCTGTGCCGACCACATATAACACGCTTGTAATTTTCCCATAGTCTAGTCTCAAAGTGCGTTTGAGGGACATCATTCTGTATTATTTTGTCGGCTACGTGGCTCTTTCTCCGTGATAGAGTCCGCTGACCTTAGTTATTAGACACCAGGGTTACAGTCAGACCGTGGGCTCTTGCAGCCCCCCCCCTCGCCCTGTGTGGACAGCACTGGTCTCAGGTGTAGTTTACTGCCTGGCGATTGGTCAGCGCCTCTCACGAAAAAGAAACCAACAAAATTGACGGATCCCAGTTTATTTCAATAATCTAGCTCTAAGAGAAACAACTGACAACAGTAAGGCTTTATCACACGGGATGCGAAAGAAAAATATAAAGAATACAGATTCCGTAGGAAAAAAGAAGTTGATCGTTGACAAGGTATGGAAGATTTACATAATTTAAAATGTATTTTACATACCTGTTAAGATTTGCCTTTAATGTTGTACCTAGCACATACAACAGACTCTGCACTTGTTCTGCGTCCAGGCGGCATGTACGAGTGTACCGAGAGGAAAAATCCTGCTTTTGCCGTAAGAAAGTGGGCAAAGAGACAGCCATAATTTAGCTTTGTATCACCGCGTTAAAATCAGAAGTGACGAGGCACTGGCAGCCAACCTCTTATGAGTGTCTAAGAAAGTGTAACATGAGCTTTTATCATATTGTCTTTTTTCAACCCTATAATTACAAAAGCTCTGTTTGGTCACGCCTATTACTGACGATAGTTTGCACCCTGAGGGAAATATGCCTGGCATACAGATGCCCACAGAAGGCATGCATGAATTAGGAATCATTTCAACAGGATGAAATCTTCAGCATGGTCAGCGCCAGAAATGACCGAGGTGGACTTCACTTTTAAGTTTTCCATAAATTTTGTACCTTGCAAGGATTTGTCAAGTGTGAGTATGAGCCAATGAAATACCTGTAAACATCCAGTGTGGGCGGGACTCAGCAGATCCCGTGTCATCAACTCAAAGGGCTTTGTTGCTCTGATCTGAAACGCTAACAATCATGCGCTATTCTATGTTATAACCGCGGCAAGACAACGTTGGTATATCGTTTGGATAGAGTGTAATCCCCGTCTTCCGAGATGGAGAAGTATCGATATCTGGTTCGGGGAGAAAACCAGTGTTTGTGAATTGGAAATCACTTCCACGGTGAGCTAACCTTAGCAGTGCTAGTAGCTCTGGGAGGAGTGTTGCCAGATTGGAGCTGAAGAAATTCGAGCACTGAAGAGCAGATGGTGGGATATATCACGCAAGTCTGAAAAACTACATTTAGCATTACTCTCTGAACTGAAGAAGCATTGTAACTAAATCAAATTCTCTTTTGACTTATCTAAAAAATAAAACATCTCTCCATGATCACTTTCATGAACTGTCGGCGTGACTGCTAGCGAGCTAGCCACGTAGCCTCGTAGCTTTCCGCAGGAGGACATTTAAAATGGCGGAAGATTGGCCTTTTCTTTTGAACCTTTTATTGATGGTTCTGAGTTTGAGTGGCTGTGCTACAAAGTTTTGTCCAAGTCCATGTACGTGTTTAACTGGACCTGACGGGATTCCTGTTATGGAATGCAATCGGAAAAGGCTATCGTCTGCTCCCCTTCAAGTGCCTGCCGAGGTGACCCAAGTGTGAGTACACATCAGTTGTCTGCTGCTCAGATTTATTGTTTCTACAACTCTTAATTAATCTTGCATGCGAAATTCTTTTTGATTTTCGTCTTAAAAATAAAAAAGTTTTAAGTATCCTGCCTAAATCACTGGCAAATATAACTAACTTAGAACTAATTACAAGCGTTAAAATATACATTTAATACATTTGTTCATACATACTGATACACATAAATGAGGAATACAAGATTTAATTTTATTCTACCAACTTTTTAATTGTGTTCTGATATTTTTACAGAACCTTAAATCACAATGAACTCACTTTGTTGCCTGTTTTTGGTGATATTTCCTCCAACATAACATCATTATCATTGTAAGTATATGTTTCTCTGGTATTCCATGACTGTATGTGTAGATGGACAGAGTATATGTGTGTTTTGTATTTTTCAGAATCCATAATCGCATCTCTGGGCTGACAATGCATCAGCTGCAGCTGTATGTGTCGTTAGAGTCACTGGACCTCACATCAAATTCCATATCTGAACTCAAAGTTGGATCATTTCCTTCCATGCAGCTCAAATATCTGTAAGTTTACATTTAGTTTTTTATTTGGACAATAGACATTTATGCTACATAATAACTGACATAGCTCGTGTGTGTGTGTGTGTGTCTGTTGTTGTTGTTGTTGTTGTTGTTGTTGTTGTTGTTTTAAATCAGGCTAAAAGCCTAAATTAATGTCTAAAACATCTGACATATTGTAGAGTTGACATTAGAATCATGAAGAAATAAAATGACGCCTCTGACAAAATGACAAAAAATACATTATTATTTTAGTATTTTAATTAGACATTTAAATAAAATTGTGGAAATGATCATTTCCTTGTATGTTTTGTTTGATAGAAACCTGAGTAATAACAGGATCAGTATTCTGGAACCTGGCTGCTTTGAAAACATCTCCAATTCCCTGCTGGTGTTGAAGCTGAACAGAAACCGATTAGTGACACTGTCATCCAAAGTCTTCAAGCTTCCTCAACTTCAGTTTCTGTAAGTCATGTTCTGCATGGTCTCAGTGCAAAACTAAAAATAAGGAGCATTTTGTTTTCCTGACATTGACTTATAAATAAAAATATGTATATCTGTCTGCAGTGAAATGAAGCGCAACAAGATAAAGATAGTTGACAGCCTGACATTTAAAGGGATGGATTCACTCAAGTCGCTCAAACTGCAAAGAAATGGCATCACTAAGTTAATGGATGGAGCATTTTTTGGTCTTAACAACATGGAGGAACTGTAAGTAAAGCTAAAGTAGAATGTAGTGTATCTTGATCATACTTTTTCACGTAATTAGCATTTTTCTCATTTGGGTTACAGAGAACTAGAGTACAATAATTTAACCGAGGTCAATAAAGGCTGGCTGTATGGGCTACGTATGCTTCATGTCCTGAGAGTCAGCCAGAATGCTATCAACATCATTCGACCAGATGCATGGGAATTTTGCCAAAAACTGGTAGAACTGTAAGTTTGTCAATTAACACATGATTATTACCAGTTATGTGCTACCACTACTTTATTTTGACTAGTCTGGGGTGCTTGAGATATTCATTGATTGAGAACTATTTTCCTTTGTGTTTTGTGCAGAGACCTCTCCTTCAACTACCTGACCAGACTGGAGGAGACTGCCTTTGTTGGACTGGGTGTCCTGGACAGCCTGAACCTCGGAGATAACTCCATCAGTCACTTGGGAGAAGGAGTGTTCGGGAGCCTTGGAAGTGTGCGCACTTTGTAAGTCCCTTTTTATGACTATGTATGTGGTCTTGCTTTGAGAGATGCACAAAGCTTATATTTTGATGAGCCTAATGATCAGGTTTTGACTTGTATTGAGTAGTTAACTTGAGTAAGTTTGTCTGTCTTTGCTACAAGACGTTCCTCTCTGCCTTCCTCCTGCCCTTGCCCGTCTCAAATATGTTCTCCTATAATCTTTTTGTAGTAGTTTGGTGTTGAATGGGGCATTTATTGATATTTGGTTAAACTTCTAAACCCTTATTGAAAAGATGCATGCATGTATACAGCTTAGTACACTCTATAAAGACTAATTCCATCTGATAGCTTTATAATGAAATTGGCTCCATGTCAAGGTTAAACAAGTATTGCAACTGCTGTTTGAGCATGTTTCTTTGGCATATAATTGTTAATATTCACATACCTCTGATTTATAATTTAGAACTAAAAGCTCAGTATTAGAAAGCACATCATTCAGGGTGCCCTCATGGGAGAAAGAAATTGTGTGGTGCCAAATTCTTTTTAAGCTGGTCAGGCATGAGAGAAGAGAAACAAAGGAGCCCATGACCCAGCCTGTAAACACAAGGCCTCTTTGGGCTTCCAGTGGAGCCATGAACTGTCCAAGTGCTAAATGGGGCCAATTAAGAATGCCTCATCAAACTGACAAGGGCAGTGGACTGGATCACACTGTGCAGCAGGGGTGTATTGCATTGTTAGACTTATTACTGATTTTTATTGCTAATGACAACCTTGCTGGAGTGCCGTCTTCTGGTGTCCATTTTGTGCGTTGTGCATTTTAATGTCTTTTGCTGGTTTGTCTTTTTCAGAGATATCCGCAATAATGAAATCTCCTGGGCCATTGAAGACTCAATTGGTGTATTTGATGGAATGAAGAAATTAAATACGCTGTAAGCTTTTTTTTTTTAATCTGGAAAGATTACATACCACTTCTTTAGTTACAAGTAGTTCTTGTGTAAAAGTAGACTAAAATAAAACCATCTTATTTTCAGAATTCTCCAGAGGAACAAAATCAAGTCAATCACCAAAAAGGCTTTTGAAGGGCCTGAGGAGCTGGAATATCTGTGAGTCAGCAACTAGTATTAAATTGTGACTTTTCCCTCAGCCATTCATACTAGATTTATTGAATTATCATTTCTGTTAATTATTTCTGTCCTTTAGGGACCTGAGCAAGAATGAAATTATGTCTATTCACCCAGAGGCTCTTTCTCACTTGAAGCTGAAAGTGTTGTAAGTTGATGTTTAGTTCACCTGTTTATTTCAACATACAGTATTTTCAATATTTTTATTCTACTTTCATTTTATCTCAACAGCATTTTGAATACCAGCAGCCTGCTATGTGACTGCCACATGCAGTGGTTGTCCCCCTGGCTCACTAACAAGCTTTTCCAAACATCTGTGTCTGCCGTCTGTGCACATCCTGCCACTCTACTTGGTCAAAATGTCCTCACCATCAGCCAAGACAGTTTTGTTTGTGGTCAGTTCATTGCATGATTTTTATTGATTTGATTTATTTTTCAGTCTTATTTTAATGATAACAGTTTTGTGAAATGTGACAAACACTTCTGACTTTCCTACAGATGATTTTCCAAAGCCTCACATCACAGTGCACCCAAACACGTCTGTAGCTCTGCGGGGTAATAATGTGACTCTGAGTTGCATGGCCTCCAGCAGCAGTGACTCTCCTATGAGCACGGCCTGGAGGAAGGACGGAGAGGTTCTGTATGATGCTGAGGTGCACAACTACGCCCGCTACCAAGATGGAGAGCTCATCTACACTACAGTCCTGCACCTGCTCAACGTCAACTTTACTGACGAGGGCCGCTACCAGTGTGTGGTCTCTAATCATTTTGGATCCAATTACTCAAATAGGGCCAAGCTCACTGTCAATGGTAATTGTTTTTACAGCATTAGTTCATTTGAATGGAATAGGTCATATCACTGGTGACTGTAGCATGTTGTATATGGGGATGAAATTTGGAATGCAGTGATATTACTGTACATGCAATACAGCTCATTTTTCATCTCAGTAGAAAGAAGATGCAGGCAGACATGGAGAGAGAATCTATATTTGTTTGCAAAGTGGGGAAATGTTTGTGTTTAAGAACAATAGGAGAATAGAAAATATGCAAGAAGTGGCTATTGCTCTAGTTATATGGCACAACATATTAGGCTTCAGATGACATTGCAGCATTCTATAGACCAATTGATATTTAATACAAATGGGGGCAGGTAAAATTAATAATTGTTAAAATGCATATTTTTGTTGCTATATAGTGAGTTCTTGTGGCTAGATTCACACACATTCAGGTTCAACATTTGAATTTACCTTTCGGATATTTCATGGTGAAGTACAATGTTATCAATAGGAAAAACTGTCTCAAGTCCCCCATCTGGGAATATGACATCATCACATTCTAGAATCTGAAGACCACTAATTGGCACAATGACTTCAGTGTGTAGTACTGGTGATGATTCACTGATTGTGGCTAATTGCTACCACTAGAGCCTAGAGTGACTGGAGGCTCAACACAGATGAAAAACTTAATAATGAAAGAGCTCTAGATATGAGGAGCTGTAGCAGAACTATTGGTTGTAACATAAATACCACAAAAACAAGTGAGTACAAATATTATGAAAGCCACCTTTTGAATTATCTTAAGCTATATTGTCACACATTTTTTTTATCATGATGAGAAATGCCCTAATCTTACTTAAACCTCTGTTTTCTGTGCTGATCATTTCAGTTTTAGGCAATTGCAGTGAATATTTCCACCAACCTTCTCTCTTGCCCTGCAGAAATGCCATCTTTTCTTAAAACCCCCATGGACCTGACAATCAGGACAGGGACCATGGCCAGGCTGGAGTGTGCTGCGGAAGGCCATCCATCACCACAGATTGCTTGGCGCAAGGACGGAGGCACAGACTTCCCAGCTGCTCGAGAGCGCAGGATGCACGTGATGCCAGATGACGACATTTTTTTCATTGCAAATGTGAAGACTGAAGACATGGGGGTTTATAGTTGCACTGCTCAGAATGCGGCAGGAAGCTTATCGGCTAATGCCACTCTTACTGTTCTAGGTAAGTCATTGCCCTGCATACCCCACTTTTATCTTCGTGTCATCTTACTCTGTAAAATTTTGACTAAAGTTGGTCTATTAAAATCATCAATCAATCAAAAAAAAATGCCTGTCAAATTAATTCATCTATTTATCCACTAGTGCCTAAATATAAATAACTCTATTTAAATGGGTGTGATTTTTTTTTTTTTTCTTAAACCTTTGTCCCCTCTTTTCAGAAACTCCATCTTTCCAGAGGCCACTAGAAGATCGCACAGTTGCCCGTGGGGAAACTGCTGTGCTCCAGTGTATAGCTGGAGGAAGCCCTGCCCCTCGCCTAAACTGGACCAAAGACGATGGACCTCTGATGCTGACAGAACGTCACTTCTTTGCTGCTGCAAACCAGCTCCTCATCATTGTGGACGCAGGCCCTGCAGATGCTGGGAAGTACACATGCATCATGTCCAACACTCTGGGCACTGAGCGAGGCCACATTTACCTGAGCGTGTCCCCTTCACCAAACTGTGACACTGGAGCAGCCTATGAGCAGGACGGTTGGACTACTGTGGGCATTGTGGTCATCGTGGTGGTGTGTTGTGTGGTGGGAACGTCTCTGGTCTGGGTCATTGTCATTTATCACATGCGCCGCAAGAACGAAGACTACAGCATTACCAACACAGGTAATACATACTCGTGTGCTGTGCTCTGAGAGGAGTAACGGTAATAAATGAAACACAAGATAAATAGTTCAAATAAAAGTAGTAAACCACTTTATATCTGAATGACCTTGAGAGAGGTAAATGTTCTAGAGCCAGAAAATCCATCTAATTTGTTATTCTCTTTGGTCCCCTCTTAAAGCAGCCGGTAAAACTAATGAGACATTAAATAAAAAACAGGTCCCGGCTTGCATTGAGTTTTAGGTTCACACATTAGTTTTGACTCATGATTGATAGAGATGTGCTTTGCTTCTAGATGAGATGAACTTACCTGCTGACATTCCCAGCTACCTGTCCTCTCAGGGAACTCTGTCTGAGCCCCAAGAAGGATACAGCAACTCTGAAGCAGGCAGCCACCAGCAACTCATGCCTCCTCTCTCCAATGGATATGTCCATAAGGGAACAGATGGTGGGCCGTCTCCTTTCTTAAAATGCAAAAATAGAAACATAAATTATTTACTGATGATGATTATTAAATTGACTGTTAAAGCAAGTAGCATATCAACGATTGATGAAGATGATCGTTCTGGAGTCTCTCTCCCTGCACAAATCTAAGATGTGACCCACTAAAGTCAACTATAAAGAGAATATAAAATATTAATTTAGGTTAAAAAAAAAAAAAGTCAAAATATGAAAGAAAAAAAAAGCCATAAGCATGACTAACTCCAGATGGAATGATTGCCTAGCTGCTCATTGCATCATCTTTAATCCCCTCTTGATTTAATTGTGCTTTTTCGTTTTAGGTGTATGCTTTGGAGACACAGGCAGTGAAATGGAAGTGGAGGGTAGTAACATATTACACTGTAGAATCGGCTCTTTGTTCAATGGTCGGAGCAGCTTCCATCCAGGAGAGGTCCGCGAGGGGTTAGGCGGAGGTCAGACAGGTCAGTGCTTGATTACAACACTTTGACATTGCTCTTTCCCTCTCTCTGTACTAGATTTAATCACTCAGCTGGATTGAAACAGTGGATACTGTTGTTATGCATTCTTTTTTTCTCATTTTACAGCAGGTGCAGCTCCTCTGGTCATCTGCTCTGACTGCTACGATAATGCTAACATTTATTCACGCACTCGAGAGTATTGCCAGTATGCCTATCTTGGGGAGGATGATGCAATGGACAAGGGTCTTAAAACAGGCCTCACTGAGCATGCTCAGCAGGATGACTCTGTCCTGGAAAACCTCATAAGTAACCAGTACAGCTGTGGTATTCTCACCTCCCATGACAAAAGCTTGAGTAACCAGGCTCCTCCAGATCACAACAGTCATGGTAAGACTTTCCCAAATTACTAGGCACTGTTTGACAACACGGGTTTTTGAAAACACTTAATCCCACTACTCATTACAGGATTTTTAGAGTCTTGAACAATTTTTTTAACTTGAGACTAAAAGCGCAGACCACAGACATGAGGAAAGTCACTATTCTTTGAATGCAAACACTTCAGTTCAGTTCAAGTTTATTTATAAAGAACATTCATCTTACCAAATTGCTTCACATAGGTCAATAAAAACAGAAGAAACAGATGCATATACAGATAACACAATACATGTGAAAACTACAATAAAAACACCAAGATAACCTGACTAGCTAATATTAAATGCCAGGGAGAAGAGGTGAGTTTTCAGTCTAGTCTTAAACTGCATTACAGATTGAGAGGATCTGACAGGAAGAGGAAGGCTGTTCCACAGTCTGGGCGCTGCCACAGAAAAGGCTTTGTCACCTCTCATCTTGAGCCTAGTTTTGGACATGACCAACTGAAGCTGGTCAGTTGATCTCAGGGCTCTGGGCAGAGTATAGGACTGCAGTAATTCCCTGAAATAGACTGGACCCATAGAGTGTAAACATTTGAACACAATAATATTTTAAATTGCATCCTGTATAAGACAGGGAGACAGTGCAGATTGCACAGCAGCAGAGGTGTAATGTGTTCTCTTCTCTTGGTATTTGTCAGGAGAGAATATATTGCCTAATGTTGTGGTTTGTTCCTCATTTCAGATTTTCTTAACTGTTCTCAGTTGAAAGATGGAAAAGATCCACCTGTAAAATCCCCAACAATCCTGCCCCACCCCCCGGTGACAATGCACCGGTCACCCCCTCTGTGTGCCTCTGTGGATGGAATAGTGGGACACAGTGAAAGTGCACAGGACTACAGAAATGCCTCTAACAGGACTAACCCCTCTGAACACCTCTCTTCCACATAGGCCCCTATGCCTGTCTGTCATCCACTACCTCCAAAGACTTTAGATTCTGCCAAAGATACCCTTGACTTGAATGTTTACATTCCTCTTGACTTTGAAGAGCGTTTCTCGCTGGATAGACCTCTGTGTGCTGCAGGACCCTCCATGTGCTGGACCACACCCACACACCTTGAACACTCCTGTTGTCTAAAGAGAACATCTGAATGTATGTCTCTCAGCCATAAAGGATGCGGCCATGGGTTAAACTAAGCCATGAATATGTTCAAATGCTCTTTCCTCCGTCCCTGCTGCAGTGGACAAGCTGTTCAACACTTTCCTCAATATGTCAGGTACTTTGTAGAAGCAGTCCATATGGCGTGAATATGCTCAAACGGCCTCTTCTCATGTGGGCAGCATCAGACAGGCCTATGACCAGCAGTTTATAATGAATGACCTTTGACACACACTCCCACTGCTGCCCCTCTGACATGAACTCATGTCTGGTTCCTTATATGCAAGAGACAATCACACCAACACCTGGTGTGTATAGGAAATCATATATAGTAGCCGCTATATAATGTATATCTGTTCATTTGTCTGTACTGTTTCATTTTATGTTCATGTCAATTGTATGTTGTTGAGACCATACATTTATTTGCACATAAGACAATCATTTGCTGCCTAGACTGTAATGGTTACCTATGACGCCTTTTAAAATGCATTTGAAATCAGATCCATCAGCCATCTTTTGACTTTATTTGAGTATACACTGACTTAGACACTTCATTCTGTAGTCAGCAGTGCCTTTTTTCAGCCAGGACCATCTTTATCATTGAAATCTGTTTTAGTCTAAATGTTCTTTTCTTTTTTTAACTGAAGAACTGTGAAAGTGAATGTATTGCATTATTATGCCTCTATATGTACTGTATGTGTACATAAAAGTAGTATCTAACAAATTCCATTTTAGTGAGCAAATGCCAACTGCAAAGCTTGACAGAATATGCTGCAGTAAAAACATTTATTGTTCGCCTCTAAAATGACAAAGTAACATCATAAACCTGTGCATTGTGAGCATTCAAACCTTTTTGTTTGTTAGTCTTCACAGACTTAAGCAACATTTCGTTTTATACAAAAGCTGGTCAGCCTATTGTTTTAAAAGTTATTCCTGTTATTGTTGCACTTGAGACTTGAGGTCTATAGCATCAAACAATAAAGTCTTCATCTCCTTATGATGCATATACCCATATTTTGAATTACACAGTATTTTTCTTTTTGCAAATGATGTGCAGACAATGGTTGTTGGATTTTCAACAGCCAAATGGTTATGTTTTAGTATTATATTGCAGGATGGTACTGTATCTGTGGTTTTGCACTCTTTTGCAAATTTTAATTTGAGTTGAACTTACTAGCTTTGCATTCCAATCTATTTGACACACTCCCTGCCTTACTGAAATCATGTTGTAATTTACCAGTCTTCTGGTCTTTTCTGGCTCTACTATACAAGAAATCACTAACCAGAGTTTGCTGTATATGCAAAAAGTGTTTTTTTCTTGTTTATTGCCACAGAACATCCAGTGTCTCTACCAAAGTATAGCTATGTTTTGACAATTCCCAATGCTGCTTTTTTATAATCTAGTTTTGTTTACTTTTTTTTTTTTTTTTTTTTTACTTGTACAGCCTGTAAAGCATGCCCAAAGAGCATTTTTGTTATGTAAGCATTTACCCAACATTAAACATGAATCTTGACATATGAATGGTCATTGTAATGTATTTGTAATTAAACTACTGTAATTCTACTGTAATTCACTATACATCATATACATCATTTAATCTAACATTTAATATTTCAAAGAAAAAAACTAAATGCAAATTGATATAGACCTAATCTAATCCTATGATGTAATCAAGGCATGGTGCTCATAGTGTGGATCCAGAGAGCAAGAGAAAGCTATGGTTGACAGTTTGTATGATGTTTGGCAGTGTTGTGCAAGTTCACACTTTTCATGAACTAGTTCAAAGTTCAGTTCACACTTGTTCAAAGTGAATAGTTCACGTTCATAGTTCACAATTTAAATTTTGAACTAGTTCAAAGTTCAGCTCATTTTATATTTAGATGAGATCTGTAAATGAAAGGCTGCATTTATTTTTCAAACTGACTTCTAGTTTACAACAACTTTACAAGATACACTGTTGAACAAGTGATTTTAAAACTGTAATGTGTTATTTATGACTTGTTACTGTCATTTCAAAGTCATTTGTTACATTACAATATTACTGTATTTAAAATGTAAAACATTACACGACTATTGCAGCACTTTTAATTTACTCTCACCAAAAGAACTGTTAAGATGCTGAACTTTTGCGCCGTATATGGACTGAACCAGGACTGAACCAGACTAAACCAGGTCTAAACCAGGTCTAAACCAGGTCTAAACTAGGACTAAACCAGAACTGAACCAGGTCTAAACCAGGACTGAACCAGGTCCAAACCAGGACTAAACCAGGTCTAAACCAGGACTAAACCAGAACTGAACCAGGTCTAAACCAGGACTAAACCAGGTCTATACCAGAACTGAACCAGGACTAAACCAGAACTGAACCAGGTCTAAACCAGGATTAAACCAGGTCTAAATCAGGACTGAACCAGGTCTAAACCAGGAATAAACCAAGACTAAACCAGGACTGAACCAGAATTGAACCAGGTCTAAACCAGGACTGAACCAGGACTGAACCAGGACTAAACCAGAACTGAACCAGGACTAAACCAGAACTGAACCAGGACTGAACCAGGACTAAACCAGAACTGAACCAGGACTAAACCAGGACTAAACCAAGACTAAACCAAGACTAAACCAGGACCAAACCAGGACTAATCCTGGACTAGAACTTGGAATCTAGGACCGCCCCTGAGAGAACCCGAGTGCGATCGGGCGTCAGCTGCGTTTAGTTCGGTGGAGCGCGGACTTGTGCGTCGGTCCTTTCGCTCAGGATCACGGTTACGCGGGCGAACCTCCGGCGTTTCACCGCTGCTGATATCGCGGTGATTTTAGCAAATTTGTATGAAGAAAAACGAAAAAGCCACCATTTCAATCCAGGTTAAAAAAGCATTGTGACGCGCGTTACTGACATATGTACCAAGTAAAATAATACGCGCGCGGAGCAGCACGTCCTGTGCGTGTAGATTTCAGAAAATAGGATCCATCCTATTTTTTGACGCTCTACACGAGCGTAGGCGCGTATCCCTGTCAAAATACACAGAGAGCATGTATCTATTGTTGTATCTGTGCATTTACCATCAGCACATTGTGCTCCCTGGGCAGTTGTGTATCATGTGAAAGAGCCCAGATCCACATACACTGTTAATTAGTGCTTTGAAATTTACTTTTGAAATCCTTGCGTTTGCCGTGGTCAGACTGTACAGAAGGTAAATACAAGCAGCTAAACGCGCCCAGTCAAGTTTGATTGACTTTCCATTGAGAGACACAAGAGCCCGTACTTTCCGCTAAAGCTGCCGGGGGAGTCGCCTTCGCGTTGACACGCGGCTGTGGTTTCGCGAGGTGAAGTGCGAGCAGATCGTCACTCGTCAAATTCCGACGTTTAACTGAACCCCAACAGTGACGTACGTCGTTCATCACACATAATTTGAACAAATTCACGTTCAAGTTCTTGATTTACAAAAGTGTTGTGTTCAGTTCAAAGTTCACTGAAAAATGAACGTGTTCAGTGAACGCGCTCTTTTGGACTCGTTCATGCACAACACTGATGTTTGGTATATACTAGTAGGCTGGTACATAGGCTAGCTGGCAGTAAATATAATTAGAATGTTTGTAATGTAATATACAATGTTAACAACAGTATTGCTCTTTATTTATATATTATATTGTTTTTCTTACACTAATTCTGAAATGGGTCCGCTGGCCTCTGGTCCAATTCTGTATTCATCCCCTACAAAATCTTCAAATAACCAGCCCGCACCACTGTCTCTGACATCTTTGATCTGTAGACTTCACCTTGCTCCCTTCCCCCTCTCTGCTCAAAACTCATCTGTTCAAACCTGCCTTTTCTTGCCATTGTTTGTTTCACACACTTTTTCCATGCAAATCTACAGTGCACTCTATAAATATGAATATTTTTAACAGATAACAGGCTTATTGAGTTGGTTTATGGTTAATATGTTTAATATGTTATGTAATTACTGAACATATACAACTGAAACAAAACCACAACAGCCTCTCAGTATGAATTAACAAAAGTAACTTAATTAATTTTAATTTATTAATTAATTAATGTAGCAAGTTTGTAGATCCACTCTCTAACAAACGATAAGATTCATCATTTGTTTATCAAAAACAGTGAAAAGAACAGTGAGTTGTGGGGGTAGGGTCGTTAGATATGGCATGTGGGACTGTTCTTTATGACTGTAAATCACTTTGTGTTACACATTTTTTATGAAGTGTTTTGTAAATGCTTTTAACGTGGCCCATTTGTTTAGTTGTTATTCTCGTCATATTATATTTATTATATAATATTTCACATGATGAAATATTCAGTACTGCACCCAGTGCTTTGTATTTAAGCACATGCTTATAATACCTCAACTTTTCTGAGAACAGAGGACTGCTGCTTTTAAAACATACTTACTAAGTACGTACTAAAATTCACAAAAGACCACATTTGGTATTTTACTAGGGAGGGGACGACTATATATATATATATATATATATATATATATATATATATATATATATATATATATATATATATATATATAGAGTGGGTAAACAAGTACACCTAAACAAACCTTTAAAATACTGCTAGAAATACATGGACGTACGTTAGAGACAAAGGGCGGGCAGTTGTTATGTTAACGAATGAACCAGTAGATGGCGGTGTTGATACGCACGCAGTTAGGAGTCCATCACCTTCTCAGTACTTTTGTCTCTTTCTCGTTATAATCTAAATGAAAGCAGAAACCTGAGCATGATTATCACGTGTAATGAAGGTTTGTTGAAAGAACTAGCCTATACATGCTGTTACAAACCAGCTTCATAGACTTTGATATTGAAATTGTTTGGTGTGAGGGGAACGTACAGGAAATATGCCCACACGTTTATTTTCTTTCTAAACGCTTGTTGATTTAATACCACAGCGCACCAGACGATGGAGCCAACACGAGCGTCTGGGACACTGTGAGCGTAAAAAGGGGCGTTTCGGTTCTTCGTGTCTGTCTTTTGGCGCTGCCAGGTATGTTCAGACCTGTAGCAGTCAACAGACGCTCTTTACAGATGCCTCCAAACTGACTGGATTTCTAACACTCACGCTTTTTCTGGCCGCGCTCCCGCTGTGTGAGAGAGGATATTTACCGCTTAAGCGCTGCCACGGCTACAGATGCAGCACCGTATTGCTGTGTGACAGAAAATATAACCATGCTTTTGACAAGTTGACAGCGGAGGAGTCCAGCGCAGACGATTGGCAGCGAGATTTGGGTCTCTACAGTAGCAATGGAGAGTTGTTTTTAAACGCATCTTCCTCTTTACGCACAAGGATTGCTTGGAAATATTGCATCCTCCAAGGTGCGCGCGTAAACCCCAGGGGCTGGCACACCTTAACGGTAGAAACCAGCCTAACAAACGTCAAAGACATGATATCCTCTTCGAGTCTGGAGAAGAAGAGAAGAAGGTTTTTCTGGCTGCCTCGCGTTTAAAATTCCAAAAGGGTAAGGGGTGATATCAATAAAAACGCTGTAGAGATCAAAACAAAATTAGATAAACATGTCCAGAACATTAAAGAAGAAGAAACACTGGTCCAGTAAAGTGGTGGAGTGCGCAGTGTCGTGGGGAAACCTGGGGGACTTCGGCTCTGTGGTGGAGGTTCTGGGGGGAGCTGAGGTGGGACAGTTCCCGTACCTGGGCCAGATGAAGCTGGACGTACTCGTGTGTCACGTCGGGAAGCTGCCCTACTACGGGGACGTGCTGCTGGAGGTGAACGGCACCCCGGTGAGTGGACTTACAAACCGCGACACTCTGGCTGTCATCCGTCACTTCAGAGAGCCCATCCGCCTCAAGACCGTCAAACCTGGTACGTCTACACCCCTCGTTCACCTGGTACACATACCGCTGGGAGATGCCAGTGAATGCACATTGATTTGGTTGTTTTTATTGTGTAGCCAGAAGTATTTCGACTTGTCTGATTGTTGTGCTTGGTGATACAGTTTGTGAATCTCATGACAGCTTCCCATTAGAATCCACTGTCTTCTGTTTAATTGGCTGTATCCTTTCCCCACTTCTCAGGACTATAGTAACAGTGATGATGGGAATAATGGCGAGTAGCCCAGTTGGAGCCATTCAAACTAAGTGCACTTTACATGCTAGGAATAGGGCTGATTACATCCTCCATTATTCAGTCTCTATAATGCTGCTGCTGCCCTGTAGCCACAGGGGCATAAGCTGGGGGTCCCATTGTTCTTCATTTACAATAATCAGGCACTGGGATAATCATGTATAACAGCCCTGCTGATTGAGTTTGGTCCCAAATTTTTAATCTGGAAAAAACAACTATTCTGAAGGTTACATCAGCTTTAGCAGCATGACTACAAAGAACAGCTGAGTCCTGTGTCCTAAAGCCAGGATCGCTCCTCACATCACTGACTTCTATCTGTGAATCTCTCTTGCGTCATCTGTAGATTCATCATATTTGATATGTTTGTGTTTTTGAACAAGCAAACAAGTGATGAAAGTTTAAGAGATTTTACTTGATTTATAATGCACACATATGTGTGCATTATATGATTTATAGTGCACACGAAGACTGCGTCTGTGTGTGTGTGTGTGTGTGTGTGTGTGTGTGTGTGCGTGTGCATGTGTATGTGATGGTGCAACACTCCCCACAGCTCCTCACACTACGCTCTATGCCCCACTAACCAAGGATGATTAATAAAGGCCATACAGCAGCAAGAAAGCAGAAGCAGCAGCAGCAGCAGCAGCAGCAGCAGCAGCAGCAGCAGCAGCAGCAGCAGCAGCAGCAGTAGCAGTAGTAGCAGTAGTAGCAGTAGTAGCAGTAGTAGCAGTAGCACAGAAAGGAGTGGAGAGAATGGTCCCAGTCTTTAGCTGTAGGCTGTACTCCCACATCATTGTGCTCTTTAAAGCTCATAGAAAAGTCATGGGTCACCAGCATGGCAGCATTCCTCACCTCATTCTTTTCTGGCATTTGTCATCCTTACCAGGGTTACGTTAATGGTCTTGTCCAGTTGTACAAGTCCATACGCTTTGCATGTGCTTTGTTTACATTCACACTTTTAGTCCTGTAGATATGGACTTGGTTTGGTCTAGTTCTGGTTTTGCCCTGGTCTAGTTGTGGTTCAGGTTATCAGTTTAGTCCCAGTTCTTATGTATTGTTTGTGAATGTGCCCATGATGTAAGATTCAGTTACATATCATTTGACAATACAGATGCTAGTAGAATTCAATCTGGACAGCATGCAGATGAAGATATTGCATAGTCCTTGTATAAAGTTATTTCAGTTGTGCCACAAAATCTTTACAGAATCTCACAATGAGCTACTGAAAATTAAACATTTTGAGTGAATCTTTTGCACAGTGCTGTTGTAGTAATGTCTTGGGACTTCAGTGCTGTGTCATTTGTTTACGTCTGGTGACTCCTGCTTAATTGTCCAAATCCTTTCTCATACATTTTGCATGTGCTTGTGAGATTTGAAAACACAGCTCAGTGCAGTTACTCATGAAAAGGCAACATGCAGACTCCCCCCAGCGTGCACATACAGATGGACTCGTTACATTGTATGCTTGTGTGCATGTCCACCCTTTGTGTACAACGTGTGGAAACCTTATGTTTAATTCACACTTGACTTCTTACATAATTGAGACATTGAGTGGATTTTCTGCACTCTCAGATGGAGGCCTTAGAGAATCAGCTGTTAACTATAGGAGGTCCCCCCATGACAGACAACAATGGACAGACTGCAGCGTGAGGGCCGGCAGATGTTTCTTTGCACGCTCCTTAATCTGCTGCTTCATGCATGATGTCTGTAGATGGACACTTTAGAGTGGTGTCAACTAAAAGACTTGAAACACAGCGGAGTACAGAATATGACAGAGTTCATTCAAGTTAACTCTTCACAAATTTACAGAGAGGATAAAAGCAGATGCTAGTACACATTCACACCAATGCATTTCAAAGTGGGGATTTGAAAGATGCAGTGCTGGGAAAAGGAATTAATTTCTCACCCTCCCTAACCCTTTTCTTGAGCTGTTTCCTCTCAGGTCACTTATGCTGTAGCCCTACATTTATAACTGGTAATTATAATTTATGTGATATCAATTGCAAGATCAACTTATCGTTCAATAAATGAAAGTTGAAACAACATATTTTAGGCTTCAATATTTATCAACAACAACAACTTTTTCTTTGAAACAGTGCGGGTTTCTTTTGCCATTTTTATGTAATAATGTAAGATTTCAGCCGTTGAGAGTAGAATAAATAATTGGATAATTACTGCAATTATTATTATTATTGTTTTGGTTCAGTTGCCGCTCAGGCTTTTTAATGATACAGTATATTGAAAAATAGGATTATCCTGCTTTGTGTCAGTGGCATAGTTTCAGTATTATTGTTTATCTCAGTATTTCACTGTAGCAATACATCATGCTTTAAAATCTGTTCTTGTGACAGGCCTAGATAAATAGTAGGTTTGCTGGTTTGTCACACCATACAGCTATCATGATTAAATGCTTAATTAATAATTGTGATCATTCATGACTATATCAACTCATGTAGACTATACAAATATAATTGTGAATTGTTTAGAAATCAGTTTATAAAAAAGTAAACCAACATTTTTTTTTATCATGTTGCTGTTTATGTCACATTAATTTTATAATTGCAAAAGTTTGATACTAGGGGAATGGTTACATAGAAGACAGTCGAAGAAAATGAAAGTTCTCACTGTTATTTGCTGTCTGTAATTGTGAAAAATCGTAAAAGTGTAATGTTTTGTCAGTCATCAATATGTGTCTGAAAAGTTTTAGACCACTGCAATCCTGATGGAGATCTATGTTCATCATCTCCAGGTTTGTTTCACATGCCCTCTTGTTTTTGGGTCATTATTCAAATCACTTGCCTCCATCTGTCCATCCATCTACGAATGAATGTCACCTTGATGAATTGTATGTGAAATTGGCACAGGTTTCTATCAGATGTCCTTCCTGATGCAACTCTACTCATTTATCATGTCTTGGGAATTGGGCCCTGTGTGACTTGATTGTTATTTTTGTGTGATTGCTAGAAAAAAGGGGAATTGAGCTACTTGACTCCCCTCCCTCTGGTGAAGCAGATCGTATACAGATTGACAAAAGATGGCTCCTATTTCTGTCACCTCCCTATATCATCTCAAGGTCTCTCTATGCCTCCATCATGTCTCCACGTTACAGTTCTCATTTCCCCAGCATCTTTGATTAAGCTGGAAGGTACCTCTATTAAAAGCCTGCTGCCTGCTGCTTCGCTGATCTATTTTTGCTGAAACTCCAACTAACGATCAGAGCGGAAGTGTGATCAAAAGCTCTATGAATGCTATACCAGAATTTCTCCTGCCGTATACATATTTCTGTGTTAAGACGTGCCTATAGTCACCACTTCAATCACTATAAGCAAACAAAACATGCAAGTAATATGTAACAGTTTATATGCTGCTGGATTGTGTATCCCATTTTAACGTATACCCTGTAGAGTGTCATTATGTATGTTTAAAATAGACATGGTACAAGACTCTTTTTAAAGCCTTTTCTGTAGCTAATGGAGTGTTCGTCATAGCCTGCAGTTACCATAGGGATGGCCATTTCATTCAACACTAATGTAATTTTGGCTAAAAATGTGAGATGGTGAGAAGCAGTGTTAATGCTCCGTAAGAAACCTGAAGTTTTTTGTTTGTACTTTTGAATGTGAATGGTTTTGTGTCAGACAACAAAAAGAGCACAGCATTTTCCTATAGTATATTCAGTTTTTTGACAACCCATTACTGTAAAATCTTTGAATCATGTTATGAAAACAAAATAATATCCGCAGTTGTTAAATTCCAGTTAATATAGATTTATATAGTTGTCATGTAGTATTTTCCTCTTTTGTTGCATTATTGAACCACTTATTGTATTAAGCACGTATGAATTCTTGTCAAAGGCATTGTAGCACATTTGTTATTCTCAAAACTTTGATATTTCACTTCAGAACCTCTACTCTGAACATTTTGAACATTTTATTTTCAGCCTTCAGTTGTTCTGACTGTTTTGCAGTTACAGAATTATTGATGCACAATGGAAAGTGTTTTGAGGTTGAGTTGATAATTATACCTGAACAGATTTCCCCATTTTTTTTCTTTAATGTGTGGATGCCTGTTTTACCAGGATATTTTGATCATTGCTGACTAACATTTGCGATAATAATTTGCGTTTGCCTTTTTTTTTAAAGTCACAGTTCGGCTCTGTACCTTTCCGTTTTACCTCCAGATCACGTCAGTAGTGAAGAATTGCGACTGACACGAGCCTCTAAGCCCTGTATCAGACTGCAATAGTGAGTGTGGGCTAATCACATTAATGCACCTCTCATACCAGGAAGTGGCTCTCAATGGAATCATCCTCTTGACAGGCGATGCTTTGTCACCACGGAGATTTGCAGTGGGGAAAAAAAAAGATCTAGTAGTGTGGGAATACATTCATACAAGCCGGTCAGATAACTAGACATCTGCTTTTGCCTTTGAGATGTTCAGGCTGTCAGTGGGATGAAGCTACAGCAGACTGACTGAGGCCCTCCAGTGATTAGGGGGGTTTAATGCACATTCATTACTAAGAGACGTGCTTTGTTTTCATTTCTCAGATCAGCTTATAGACCCCGGCTTTACTTCGCTATTGGATCATATTGTACCATGCTTGTATATAGCATGCATGCTGTTGTTTCTCTCTTTTAGAGTGAACACACCTGTCTGTATCAACACTGTGTATAGTATGAAAAAGGTACACTATGGTTTTTATGCTGTGCTTTATGTCTTCTGTTATGTCTTATTTCTTTCTATAT